AATGGATGTGACTGGAGGTGAGTGGCTCGGCCAGTCACACTGTGCACATCTGGTTTTTCCTGTGTGAGAGTGAGCATGAGGTGTGGGAGAGCAGCTGGCCACTGAGCAAGCTGTTCCCCTGGTTTGCACTGGTGTAGCTGACTGTGTGGGTATTTGCAGTCCTGCTGGCTGGAAATGTGTGTGTGTGTGTGTGTGTGTGTGCATGCGAGCGTGCGTGCACGCAGTCCTATGTGAACCACGAGTGTGTAAGGACCGATGCAGCAGGCGGTGACCTTGCCTCTAGCTTGCATTTCCATGTTTGTGTGATTCTGAATCTGTGCATGGATATCTGGATGTAACTACACAATTTTCTGTTTGTGTGCAATTATCCCTGAGAGTTCTCTCTACAGCACTTATCACAATTTCTAATTATAGATTTGTCTGTTTGTCTATTGTCTGTCTCCCCACTGGACTGGGCACCCTGTGAGGGCAGGGCCCTGGTCTGTTGTGGTCACGGCTGGGTCCCCAGCACGGACAAGCACATAGTAGGTGTTTCCATCAGTAACTGAATCCATGGCTCACATGTGTCCCTGGCAGGAGCACATGTCTGCGTAACTGTGTGAGTGGTTCTGGGTGGGTGACCCTGTGTGTGCTTTGTGTGTCCAGTGGAACATACATAGATGGGTCTCAGTAGCAGTGTAGCCCTGGTTTTCAGCACCTACCACCCTACGTGACGCACAGCAGGGCTTCTGCCAGCACTTACGGGCTGCAACTGTGTGATTCTCACAGTATTAGCACTAGGACCTCCATGCCCTTCAGTTTTCTCATCTGTCAATGGGGACAATCATCGTGCCCACTCCTGGAACTGTTGTGGGGAGTAAATGAGGTCTTAGAACGTGCCTGGTACAAAATAAATGTTTATAAAATGCAGAGAGTGATATTATTACTTCCTCTTTGTGTGCCCCTGTACCCTGAGTCCAGAATCCGAGTTAAGGACACTGTGGTCCTGAGTTGGTAAAAACCATAATATTCTGAGTCCGTTCCCCTCCTATAAAATGAGCCACCTCCAGGTGGCTGTGGTCAAGTGAAGCTGTGTCTATAAGTGGTGACCCTGGGGCAGTGAGCACATAGTGTGTCCAAGATCCACCAGGATCAGATGGCAGACATGGGTGGGCTGGGGAAAAGAGGTCCAACTATTGAATGGGTTGTGATGTAGAAAGACCAGGAAGGAAGAAAGAGCATCATCTGCTGAAGTCAATGAGTAGAAGGTTCTAGAATCTTCCTTTCTGGAAGATCCCTGAAAATAGTTCCTCCAAAGATTGAGGGATAAAAGAAGCTGGAACTGCTTGGAGGAACTGAAACCAGCCTGAGTCTTGCAGGCCAAGGGAGAATGAGGAGGGGTAACAATAGCAATTCCAGTAACTTCCGACCTGGCCATTGTGTTGGGCCTTTGTTATTCCTAGCTCAGCCCCCAGCACCAAGGGTTCTTGCCTACCCTACACTGCTGATTAACTGTGTGAAAACTCGATTAAATGAATGAATAAATTCATCCCACATCAGTCTGTGAGTCCTGGCCTTGAGGCAGGTGGGGCAGGCTGGTGAGTGGCCAGAGCTGGCCTGGGGCCCTAGCTTCTGGGCATCTATCCCCTGGCCCCTCTGCTCCCACTATGCAGGGCAGCCAGGAGTGTGGAGGGGGCGGGAGGGAGCAGCCGGCCTGGGCCCTGGACAAATGCCCAGTGTGTCTGCAGGAGGGATAGGGTAGCCCAGGCGCCTGAGTCACCTCAGAGAAACCCAGGCCGCATACCTGGCCGCTGACATCACCCGGCCAGGGTACCCCCAGCCGCCTAGACAAGTGGATTGAATCACAGGCGGAATTCAGCCACCTCGGGCTAGGGCACGTGGCCCCTAGTGACCCCGCAGTCCACGCCCGCGTGGCCGTCTGGCTGCGGGGGCAGCAGGCCGCATTGGGGTCAGTGAGGGGGCATGGGCCTGAGTCAGGGACAGAGTGGCTGCAGCCAGAGACCACCCAGCCACAGGCGGCTTCAAGGTGCAGGAAGGAGAATGTGGGGACGCTCCTGGGCGGCAAAGAGGAAGCCCGAGTGGGCGTGACTGTGAGGCTGTGGGTTGTGGGCAGCGACTGGACGACCCACAGGGGGTGGGAACCTTCTGCATGTTTGCGCAAGAATCATGGGGTCAATGAACAATGGAATTGCCACACCTTGCGTGCACACACGCACACACGCACACGCAAGCACACCCATCCAGAACCTCAGCTTGGGGAAGCTCTGGCTCAAAGCACCCCAGGACCTTGGGACCTCATTCTGCACAACCTACAGGTTAGATGAGTTCCCTAAGGAGACAGGCCTCAGTTTCCTTATCTGTCAAGTGGGAGTGATAATAATCATTGTTGTAACAGCCCACATTTACAGGGAGCATGCTTTCTCCCAGGCACTGTTCTAGACATGTACTCCTCCGAACAAAGCTAGGAGAGACAGCCCACCGTACAGAGGAGCTTAGCTCTGATTCTACATGCCCACAAATGTGAAACTGTGTGTTATTGTGCGCGTGCGTGGTGCGTGGGAGAGAGTCTGCATAGTGATGGGAGCTGGGTGTGTGATTCTGTGTGTCTTTGTGCCTATAGATGCCTGGTTCTGTAGGTTTTGATGCAAATCTGAGCAAGTCTGTGGAAGCTCTTTGTGCCCCTGGGACTGTGGGTGGCCTCTGACAAGTCAGGATAGCTAAGAAATTTCCTGAGTCCACAGTGCTGGGAGATGCCTGGTGGGGGTGCCTTGGCCCTGCAGGTTTGTGCCTATCTGTATCTGTGGTTCAGTGTGTACAAAATTCTGTGATGTGTGCGTGCAACTGTGTGTGTTTAGCTCTCTGTGTGCGACTGCGTGCTTGCTTACTTATCTGGGTGTCTGTGCAGACAGGGGTCAAAGGTATGAGCACATATACTGTATTGTCTCCCTGTGAGTCTTTCGGTTTCTTCCATTTGGATTCTGGAAACCAAGCCTCCTCCTTCCCATGCCAATAAGTCTGGACACCCACTCCCCTTTCTGAAAAGTCCCAGCTCAGTTCTGCCCTAGGAACAGGCAGGAAGGACAGACAGGTGAGTCATTCACTAACACCTGGACAGCCATGTACAGTCTCCCTGCTTGTCCACAGGTCTAGGCCCTCTCCCTCCATCAACACAATTCCGTCCATGTTTCTGCCAGAGACAATCTGTCAGAGGTCGTGGATGTGAACGTTCATGTAATCAACATACATTTATTGAGCAACTACTAGGTGACTGGCACTGTGCTGAGGATATGGCAGTGCCTAGGCCTCACAGGGCTCCCAATGGGGGAGACAGACCAGACAGTGATGAATCCAGATTGGGGTCCTAGGCGAGGGGCAACAGCCCAGGGAGGGCTTCTTGGAAGAGGGGATATGGGAACTGAGACCTACAGGAAGAGACCTTGAGGCCGAGGAAGCAAGGGGAAGAGACTTTCTTAGGAAGACAGCAGAGCATATAGTAAGACCCTATAATCAGGGAGAGATCATAGCCTCAGGACATGAAAGGGAGGAGGGAGAAGTGAGTAGGAAAAAGGGAGGGTTAGCCCGGGTGAGGTCATGCTCAGCCTCTTGGGTCATGGTGAGTCTGCAGTTTGAAAGCAGAATGTAGGTCAAGATCAGAGTCACCAGGCTGGACCACTCTGATTCTCTGAAACACCAGGACACTTCCTTCAGGAAGCCTCCGGGACTGCTCCGAGGGGAGCTGGTCCAGCCAGTTACCCTCTGTCTTCAATGCTGGGCACCCAGGAGGCAACATTTACTAACCAGCCAGGCCCTACCCTTAGGGAGGTCACAGTCCCAGCACAGGGCACACCTACACACCTACACACACACACACACACGTGCGCACATGCTAACCCCCCTCCTTGCAGGCCTCAGAAACGCTGACAGACCTTTCTTTTGGAGCTGAAGCTGAGGCATTGGCATTGCTGGAGGGCTTCTTGGAAATGCAGAAGATGGGGCCACATCTGTATTATAAGTGATCCCCAGGGGCTTCTGGATCATATTACAGCCAGAAGCACTGCTCTCAGGCTTTACCTCCCCCTGGCCTCATTTCCTTCCCTGTACAATGGGCTAATAACAGAACCTACTTATGGGGTTGGTGTTGTGTGAGAATAACTGAGATATTGTGAGTGGAAGCATGGAGTATAGCATCCGCCTCCTTTTTTTTTTTTATTAAGTTGCCGAGCCTGAATTTCTCTCAAACCTACGGTCATCCAACCTTCTTGCTTGCTCGGTGGATGGGAAAATGGTAGGGGAGGAGAGTGGCAGGGGTTTTACCAAAGGAAGGACGTGCTGAGATTTGTTTCTGGCAAAGCCAGACCTGGACTGTTTAGAGGGTGCTTTGAACCACCTCATCTCTCATCTATGGGGCCAGAAAGCCAAGGCCCCATCCCACCTACCCAAGCACAGCCAAGGCCTCAGGAGCCAGGGCAGGCGGCCTGCCTTCTCCCCTACACTGAGGTCCTCCTCCTCCAGGAAGGCCCCTAGGATTAAACCTCAGAGAAAGAGACTGGTCTTGACCACCCCATGCTCTGTAGGCCCATGTAAAAGAGTGTATGTGTGTGTGTGTGTCTGTCTGTCTGTCCGTCTGTCCCAAGGGCCAACTCTCCCCTTAGGCACAGAGGGTGCTGTACTAGACCCTTCTAAGAAAATGCTTTGAGCTATATAACATCGTCTTTAGGTTAACACAGTCATTTAGGTAACACATACCATTTTAAAGATGCCCTTTTTGAAGGAAGAGGCCCAGGAAGGCAAAAGTGCTTAGGGCCCACAAAAATTATATTAATCATAATATTATAATTATTATATTAATAATTCAACTTTGCATGTCTCTGCTTCCAGCTGACATCTCTAGGATGTTTACACCTGCAAACTTTGGCTTTGTTTCAATGACAAAATCAGCCCCTACAATGTGCCAGGCAGTCTTGCAATCCTTCCACCAGCCCCAGAAGCTGAGCACCTACCTTCCCAGGTGAGGAAACCGAGGCTCCAGGTATCACTAGTTCAAGTTCACCCACTTACTAAGTGGTGAGGTCAGAATGTAAGCTCAGGCCATCTAGATCCTAGGTCTCCCTGTTAGGGGGCAAATGCATGGTGTGACCACCTGCGTGTGGTTACAGTGACATACACAACTCATTTACTAAGAGTTAAAAGCACATGCTCTGAAGTTCCATATGCTGCCTTCTTATCCCAGTTCTGCTGTAAATTTCCTGTGTGACTCTGAGGAACTAGCTGTACCTCTCTGGGCCTCCACTTTCTTGCCTATAAAATGATACTTCTGGGTCCTCCCCAGTGGCAAAAGGAGTTAAGCATCAGCACTATGAAACTATCCGCAGCCACTGCAGCACGAGTTCGATCCCCAGCCAGGGAGCTACCCACAGGGAGCAGCAGACCTCTCCTGACGTGTATTTCCGTCAGTCTGCCTGTTCTGCTCCCCACTCTGTCTCTGGTGAATCCTCTCACCCCCCCCCCATACTTCTGGCCTGTACCCCAGCTGTTGTACGCATAAATAAATAAATCTTTAAAAAACAAAATAAAATGATACTTCTTACTTCAGAGGAGGTGGCGAGAATAAAGTAAGTAAATATAAGTGCTCTGGGAGAATTCACTCTTGTGACTGGTGTGCAGAGCATGTGTGACGCGCACGTGTAGTGAAGGTGTTTGCATCAGTGTGTCTGTCTGTGCTGCTGCTGAGAGGTGAATGCCTGCATGACCATGTGTTAGGGCTTATGAGTAATTGCCAGTGACTGTGTGGGTGTTTGTGCCCTTGTGTGGGGTGTGAAGGTCTTTGGCCCCCAGGGTAGGTACTTGTGTTTTTCCCTTGTTCCACCAGAGAGGAGATGAGGGGCTTGGATGAGACAGGGGAGTGAGGGGTCCCTCCCCTGTCTGATGTTGGACCGAGTCACTGCCGGTGGTGGTTGCTGTGTCATCTCCTAGTCCCTCTCTGACTTCCAGACAGGTGACAGACAGAGGGGTGTGGGAGAACAAGGTACAGTGTGGGTTTGAGACGGGCTTTCGTCTGGAAACCTTAACCTCCACTCCATGCCCACCCTCATCTTCCACATCTCCCGACTCTTCCCTCTCCTGTTCTACCTCAGACCTGCTGTGTGACACTGAGCCAGGCCCTCCCTCCCTGGACCACTGGGATTCACCAACTTTCAAAACTTCTCCCTCGGGGGATGGGGCTGGGCCAGCCTCCCAGGCTCTACACTAGGAAGGAAGTGCTCAGTGATCTCTGAGATTTGTGAAGCAGCTGTTGGGACCCTTCCCAAAGGGTGTTGGGGGCTGTGACCAACCAAATACCCGGATTAGACACTTCAACCCCATTTCCTAACTGGGTGTCCCTAGGCAAGCAGTGTTCCCTCCGTGTCTGGGTCACAGCTGTGTGCGCTGTGAGCAGACAGGGCTAGGTCTGCAAGATTCACAGCGCCTGAAGAGTGGAAGCTACTGTGACCCCCACCGTCATGTAAACACTTCCAAGTTTTAGGTTTTCCAGGGAGTTTCTCTGAACCAGGCAGCTCTTAGAAATCAGAAAGAGTAGGAGCTGTGAGTCTGACAATTCCGAGTTTGAATTTCTCCGGATGGGCTGTTGGCCAAGTCACTTCATCTCTCCAAGTATCGTTTTCCTCTTTAATCAAATGCAGAGTTTTCTCCCTTACCCTTCCAACGTGGACTTAAGGATTACAAATTTTGTATTGAAAGGCTTAGTACAGGAGCTGGCAGGTGATAAGTGCTAAATACACAGCATCCAAACGATGATGATAAAGATCATCACATTATTATTATTAGTATTATCAATAATAGTCACTCCCCTCCCCACCTGCTTTCTGTCTACTGGTAGGATTACAAAGCGGGAAGGAGGGGTCACCAACACCATCAGCGGGGTGGCTTCACCCTGTGCCAGTGCCCATCCCGTCCAAATCCGCACCTCTCCCAGACGCCAGAAAGGGGGCACAGCGAGGCTCAAGACCCACCATCCTGTGTCCAGCTGGGAAAACCGAAGCAGCAGCTCAGCGAGGGAAAAACCAACTCACTGAGCAAATCAGGTCAAAAGCTAGTTCGAGCCTAGGGACTCCACTTCCACTTCCACCTGGGGCGTCACAGCCCCTCCCGCCCCGCTCGGGACTCAGTTTCCCCGCCTACGTGCAACCGTGCACTGACCAGGGGCTCTTTTCGGGGATCCGACCTTCCTCTCGAGCGGGGGCGCTGCACCATTGGGAGAATTGGAAAAAGTGGCCAGCCGTGAGGGGGACCCGCCGGCTGGGGTCTTCCCCGCCGGGGTCCTTCCCCCGGCCTTCCCCGGGCGGGTCTGAACACCTATTATTACCAGCCCCCGGGGCGGCGCGGCACTGCGCAGGCGCGGGCGGGTTCCGCAGGCTCACAGGGTTAGCAGCAAGCGAGCGAGGGATTCCCTCTGACGTAATTGCTAGGATACCAAACAAACACTCAGCCGCGCGGGCCGAGCTCCTTATATGGCTAATTGCGTCACAGGAACTCCGGGGAGGCGGGGCCGGGATCCCCTCCCGCCGAGGGCCCCGGAACGCAGCCCCCGAGACCCCCGGGGCCGCGAGGGTGACACAGGGGGCCAGAGGGAGGCCGGAGCTGCCCTCGTGCCGGACGGCGCGGGATTCGGTTCGGCGGGGCCGGAGATTTGGGGAAGTTTGTGGAGCGCGGGACGATGACGTAAGCAGGGGGGCGGGTCCCGGGCATAAATACGGGCTGGCGGCTTGGGGCTTCATTCATAAGCCCGAGAGCCACGGCCACGGCAGAGGCACGCGGAGCTGGGACTTGGGGACTTGATTGTTGTGGTTCTTCTTCGTGGGGACTGTGAGCTTCGGCTTGTTATTTTTTTTTTCCGGAGAGAAAGTTTTTGGACGGATTCTTCTAGATAATTCTACCTTTGTTTTGGAGGACCGACTTACTTTCTCCGTCTTCTGCATTACTCCCCTCCCCCTGCGGGGCCCGCCGGACGCGTGGACGAGACCGCACCCGAAGCAGATTCGGCCCCGCAGGACAGTGCCGTCCACCTCTGGGGGAGCGATCCCCCCACGCCCGTGGGTCCCGGGGAGTCTGGACTTTGAGGAGGCGGCGCGGCGTCCCCGTGGAGCCTGAGCGCCGCAGAGGAATTGCACAGAAACTTAGCCATTGTTTGGAGCGGGACGCTTCCCTCTCCCTGAGCTTCCCCGGACAGCGCGCTTTGGGGACGCGCTCGGCTCACTCCGGACTCGCACCTCTCTTCTCCCACCCGGCCATAGCCTTGGCTTCCCGGCGACCGCAGCGTGGTCACAGGGGCCCCCCTGTGCCCAGGGAAATGTTTCAGGCTTTCCCCGGAGACTACGACTCCGGCTCCCGGTGCAGCTCCTCGCCCTCCGCCGAGTCTCAGTATCTGTCTTCAGTGGACTCCTTCGGCAGCCCACCCACCGCCGCCGCCTCCCAGGTAAGCTCTAGAGGGTCGGGGCGCTGCTCTGTGGGTTTTCATTTTTGAACGCAAGTGCGGAGCGAGCAGCCAGTCCCCTTACTCCAAGCAAAGTCGCGTCTAAACTCGGGATCCGAGAGGGAACAGGCTTCCGTGCACTTTGCAAACTGCAGAACCGGGACGCGTCTGCAATTGGCTGTGTGCGCGCGGCGCAGGGAGGGCGCCCGGAGGGGCAAGCCTGGGGGCGGGGAGCCTGCGCCGACCCGTGCAACGTGTATGCGGCAGCGGGGCTGAGAACTTCCAGCCGGCGCCGGGACTGCCCCGGACCCCGGTCTCCAGCCTGGAGCCGGCGGGCTTAGGCAGGCAGGGGAAACCCCGGGGACGCTTCCAGCAGCCTCCGCCCTCCCCCTGCTCCCGCCGAGCGCCCACTCCCGCGCCGGGCGCCCGCTCTCCCGCGGAAAAGCGGGCCTCGAACCCTCTCTTGGAGGCGCAGCGTCCGCCTACTGCGCGGAGACGTAACGGGGTCCCGTGCGTAACGGCTGACGCGCTGGAATCCTCCGTCTGACGCGGGGCACGCACAGCGCGCGGCGCCCCCTTCGTCCGCCCCGCCCCTGACGTCCCGGGAGCTTTCTATTTTGGAACGCCGGGGCCACGTTGCTAAGGGAGGGGGCAGCCCGGCGCTCCGATTGGTCGCTGCGGCGCGGGCTTCGGCCAATCAACTTTCCCTTCCTATTTGTAGGGTGCCGAGCCCTTCCCCCGCTGTGTCCCCGGAACTCGTAGTTCCTCGGCGCCGCGCTCTCTCTGGCGGCTCGCTCAGAGGCAGAGCGAGGGGGTTCCTGGCGCCAAAGGGGCCCAGTGGGTCCACGAAGACCTTGCGGGACCCGGGCCCTCGGCTCTCAGCGCCGGGGGGGGTCTGCGTGCGGCTTCTCCGCGGGAGGCCTGGGGCCGCCACCCTGTCCTCCGGGCGCGCTCCCACCGCCCCGGCCCGGCCCCCGGCCCTGCCCAGGGCCCGAACCCCCGGCTGGAGCCGCGCACCCTGGGGGAGCCAGCCAGGTGCTCCCGGGGAGCACCGCCCCCTCTGGGTTTCCAGGCCGCTGATTGGCCTGCGCGCCAGCCCGTCCCTCACCACGCCCCCTGGGAGAGTAGTTCGGCCCGAGCAGTTCTAGGATTCCATTTGGGGGTGGGGGTGACGAGAGCCGCTTGGGACGGGGGGCCCAGGCCCTACACCTTCCCCCTTCCGCGCCGTTTGAGGGAGCCCCGAGCGTCACTTTATTCCACCTGTCCGCCGCGCTAACTTGTCATCTGCCACTCTCCCTCTGGGGAGAGACAATTACTTCCATCGTTCTGACACCTAGGTCCGTCCCCCCAAAACCCTTGTGACCGAGACCCCGCCCCTGCGAGGAGGTCTCATGGACCCTCCCATCCCTCACCCCCTCGCCCAGAGGGTGTGTGTGTGTGCGTGTGAGTGTAGAGCAAGCCGTGGCCTGAGGTCTCTCCTCCCTCCCCTTGCTTCTGGGGTGGGGGTGGGGTGTTGTGTGACTGTGTGTGTGGCTGTGACTCCGTCCCGGGGGTTCTGTTACCCGGCTGTGTCCGGCCTCCTCCCCACCCCCCCACACCTAAGAGTCACCAACCCAGGGTGTGATTCACCACCCGCTGGAACCGTTCAACCTTTCCCCGAGGAAGAAGGAGGAGGTAGAAGGCAGTTGAGAGAAATCCTCTCATTAACCACTGCGTCACGGTGTAGTGGAAGGGTGGGTGTTGTGGCTTTTTGCCTGTGACACACACATCCACACCCGCTCGCCCTGTGCTCACTCACGGGGTCGGTGTGTGTATGTGTGTCGGGGGGGTGTGTGTTGGTGTCTCTGTTTGTGTGTCTACGCCTGTGTGTGTATGTGTCACCCCGTAGGAGTGCGCCGGTCTCGGGGAAATGCCCGGTTCCTTCGTGCCCACGGTCACAGCGATCACAACCAGCCAGGACCTCCAGTGGCTGGTGCAACCCACCCTCATCTCTTCCATGGCCCAGTCCCAGGGGCAGCCACTGGCCTCCCAGCCCCCGGCTGTCGACCCCTACGACATGCCGGGCACCAGTTACTCCACCCCGGGCATGAGTGGCTACAGCAGCGGTGCAGCTAGTAGCAGTGGTGGGCCTTCCACCAGCGGAACCCCCAGTGGACCTGGGCCTGTTCGCCCAGCCCGAGCCCGGCCTCGGAGACCTCGAGAGGAGACGGTGAGTAACGGGTCTCAGAAGTTGGGGGGGTGGGGGGCTGTTGGAAGCAAGAGAGACAGGAACTTTCTCACTAGTGGGGTGAGGGTCCGCTGTGCGATGAAGAAATCCTGGTGTCCCTGCACCACCAGTGGGGACCAGAGGGTCCCTTCCGGGATCCTGGGGGTTTGGGGAAGAGGAGCAGGTAAAAATGGCTGGAGGACATGCACCTCGGCCCCCACACTCATGGCCTCTGTCTCTCCTGTTCAGCTTACGCCAGAGGAAGAGGAGAAGCGAAGAGTTCGCCGGGAACGAAACAAACTCGCCGCCGCGAAGTGCAGGAACCGCCGGAGGGAGCTGACTGACCGGCTCCAGGCGGTGAGGATGGTCCCCAGGGGTGGGGTGAAGGGATGCTGCAGGGGACTTGCGCCCCGTGTTCCCCCCACACCTGTGCCCTTATCCTGGGCTGAGCACCAGAGGTTCCGTGTATGGAAGCAGGGTACAGATGTGGTCAGATGGGGTGACTGAGCATGCGTGTGCACGCGCACACGCACACACTCCCTCTCACACACTTCTGTCCACTGTTGGCTACTCTCTACCCTGTTTTATGACACGCCCCCCCCCCATGCACACACACCACTCTCCTGGCCTCACTTCACCCTAGAGTGTCACATGAGGGACCTTTAATATATAGAACAATTTGGTCTACTTTGGTCCTCGGCCAGTGAGAATCCATTTTTGCCTCAGTTTCTCCATCTCTTCCATCCCTTACCAAACCTCCCGGGTTTCCCCAAACCTAAACAATCTGGAGGGTCTGTGGAATGAAACCCTCTTATCTTGTGTCCATTCACCACCACCTACCGCCTGTATTCTCAGACCTGGGGCTGGTGTAGCCACCAAGCTCCCCGCCCCCATTTTAACCCCTGCCTGGGTCTGAGAGTTTCCTGGCACTACTGCCCCTAGAAGTCAGGGAAATCCTCCACTCTCCTGCTTTACTTGGTCTCTTTCCTGGGAGGCAGGGGGCGGGAGGCTGGGGGAGTCACAGAGGGGAGCAGGAGACATTAAAAAGGCATCATAATCAGTTATTCATTCAACAAACTCTGCCTGCCTCCTGCAACCAGAGACTTCGGTAGCAAACCGCCCTTTCTCAGCCCTACCCTGAACAGATGGGGATACAGAGTCCCCCCAACGCCCTTGCCACGAGTCCACGCCCCCAGGACTCCCCCAGGGGTCTCTTCTCTCAAGGCGGAGCTGCCTTCCAGCCCCCCAGCCTCGGCAGCAGCTCTAGGGGAGATGGTTGGGCCGTGACTCACCTTCTGTAGTGGCTCATCTTTTTCTCCTTCCTCCCTGTCCTCCGTGGTGACCTGGCCTCGGGCCTCAGGAGACAGATCAGCTGGAGGAAGAAAAGGCAGAGCTGGAGTCGGAGATTGCCGAGCTCCAAAAGGAGAAGGAGCGTCTGGAGTTTGTGCTGGTGGCCCACAAACCGGGCTGCAAGATCCCCTACGAAGAGGGGCCGGGGCCCGGCCCGCTGGCGGAGGTGAGAGATTTGCCGGGGTCAGCATCCGCTAAGGAAGACGGTTTCGGCTGGCTGCTGTCGCCCCCGCCACCGCCGCCCCTGCCCTTCCAGACCAGCCAAGACGCACCCCCCAACCTGACAGCTTCTCTCTTTACACACAGTGAAGTTCAAGTCCTCGGCGACCCCTTCCCCGTTGTTAACCCTTCGTACACTTCCTCGTTTGTCCTCACCTGCCCGGAGGTCTCCGCGTTCGCCGGCCAACGCCCCAGCGGCAGTGACCAGCCTTCCGACCCCCTGACCTCGCCCTCCCTTCTCGCTCTGTGAACTCTTTAGACACAAAACAAACACACACAAGGGAGAGAGATTTGGAAGAGGAGAGGAGGAGGACGAGGGGAAGAGACAAAGCGGGCTGCCAGGCCTCTGCTGTCCGCCCCTCTGCCGCCACTGCCAGCCACAGGAGGACCCCTGGGGTTTTGTGCCGCCTCTTGTTTCTGCGGCCCCGCGAGGCCAGAGAGCTGGTGACTCTGGGGACAGGGGGTGGGGAGGGGAAGGAGGCCCCGGGCTGCCTGTGGGCCGTCTGACCGCCACCCAACCTCTGGGGATGGGTGGGTGGGGGGTGGGTGATGCCCACCTTTGGGCTGGAGGGAACGGGGTGCCGGCGCGGGAGGTGGGGGGCTGCGGGGTGGGCTGGAGCCCTCTCCAGAGAGGCCCAACAAGGAAATAGCACAGACCCTTGACGCCCCGCCATCTCTCCGCAGCCACCCTTGGGGGGTGTGCCCCGGCTGGTTCTCCCAGCTCCCCCACCGCCTTCGCTTATTGATCCCACATCTCCACGTGGTGAGGGCCTCCTCTGAAATGAGCCTCCCTTTAAAGGGAAGTCAAGACTCCTATGACAATATCCTTTGCCCCCCACCCCTTAATCAGAAATGTGAACCTCCCTTCCTGACTGTCCGGCTGCTTCCCGCCCCAGCAAAACCGGCTCTGATCTGAATTTCGCACCTCCTGAGGATCCCCCAGTTCAGCCCCCCAGGCCTCCTTCCCATGACAGTATTATTCTAAGCCCCCACCCCACCCCAACTCCCCCAGCCTCCCCAGCCACCCCCGCAGCCGCCTTCCTTGTTGGGCCTCTCTGATCCAGGCAGCAGGGGGTGCTGCGATGCCTGTCGTGTTGGGGTGTTTTATACTGTGAAATGAGTTGGCCGGATGGTGGGGTAAACCAGACCCCTTCCAGAGGGATTGCGCCCCCCCCCCCAAAGCCTCTCCTTGAGCGCCGCCCCTCCCTTCCCTTCAATGGTGAATTAGATTCCAGGGGGTGAGAGAATCCAGAGGGGATGAGAGAGGCGTCCACGCGGCCTCTCTCCTCAGGACCCCCAAGCCCTGGCCTTCTTATTAAGGCCTCCCCGCCCCGGCCTAGGACGCCAGCTTCTCCCTCCCCTCGGCCTCCCCACAACCTTCCTACAAAGGCAGCCGGGGGAGACAGCCAGGGGACTCGCCATTTTGATGGAGAAGATTTCAAGGCTGAGGCTTCCCAACCCCCCACCCCAAACTTTTTTGGACTGGCAAACCCGAAGGTGCTGGGTTCCTGTGACCCAGCTTCCTCCCTGCCACGCCTTCTCCCTGCCCACCAGCCCCAAATCTTGGTTTGGACTCCCCCATCCTACCTTTCCTTGTGCTCCACCTCATGAGGGTTTTATCATGAGGCAAAATGATATTTTTTCACAAACTGGAGGGCCCCCCACCCCCGCCCTCCGAGCTGCATGGAAGACATTCCACTGCCCATCCCTGCCCCCTGCCCGACTCAGACCCCTCCCTCCCGTCGCTATTTATCCCTTTCCTGGTTTCCGAAAGGCACTTATATCTATTATGTATAAATAAATATATTATATATGGGTGTGTGTGCGCGCGTGTGAGTGTGTGAACGCTTTGCCACCTCCGCCTAGGTCCAGTTGGCCCTCAAAGCGTGTCAATGAATTGGAAATATTGCTCTGGAAACTTCGTCCGCCTGTCTTTTCTCTGGCTGTCTTTCTCCGAGAGTCTCTCTCCCTCTGTCTTTTCTCTGACTCTTTGTACCTATTTCCCTCCGTCTCCTTTCTGACTGTCCTTGGGCCTCTCGCTGTGTCCAGACTCTGGCTTCGTGGGGGACATGAGATTTTATTTTCTGTGAGTAAGCCTGAGGGATCGTTGATTTTTTTTACAACCTATATTTTTGAGAATTTGGGGTGCGAGTGTGAGACTGTGAGCAGGGCCTGCCCCTGCCAACCACAATGTATTGACCCCTCACCCCATCCCCACTCCCTGCTGTATTTGTGATTCTTTTTGTATTTTGCACTTGACCCTGAGGGGCTGGGGGCTGCCTGGCACCGGGCTGCCACCCTCCCCCCTATGGTTCTGCACTGTCGCCAATAAAAAGCTCTTTAAAATGCACCCACCACGCCTTAGCATCTATTTTCTCCTGATGCCCATCACTGGGCTTTCCTTTCGGCAGGAAGGAATAGGGTGAAATTTCTGGAACTCCTACTGGTGGATCAGCCTCCAAGTGGAAGGATGGGACCGAGACTGTGCAGGTCCCCTTAAGAAAAGTAAGGAGACAGAACATTACCTGTGAGGTGTGTTGTCCAGAGATGCTGGAGGCTTCCAGGTGAGGGAGGAACTTAGGCAAGACTCAGGAGGTGTGAGTGAGAACCAGCAGATTACTCACACCGAGCAGCTGGAGGCCACTTAAGTGACGGTGGGGCTTATACAAAATGTGAATCACTTTGCACTAAAGATGAATTTCCTTTGCTTTTCACATGACTACTTCTTTCGTGCTATGAACACATTGGGGCCAATCCAAGATTGACTAAACCAAAAATATTGCCTCTTTTTTCAACCCAAAGAGACAGCTGAGCCTTTGGAAAAATTCAAGCCCTCTCATATTTGCATGGCCAAAAAGCACTCTGGGAATTAAAGTTATGCTCTAGAAATCATTCAGATGCCTTAGTCAGTGAATAAGCAGGGGAAGTGGACACGATAGTCAGTTACTTTATGAACTATTTTTCACAACTTGCTAAATACCTACTGTGTGCCCAGCCTTGTTCTGGGCAGCGCTGGGCACACCAGGGATTAGCCAGCTGGAGGCACTTGGCTCCTAGCTGCCACTGTCCAATGGGAGACATGACCTGTTCTCAATCAGGAATGATCCAAAGTGGATAGGGTTGGGGGAGTCCATAGGGACTGGGGGAGCCAGTAGGGGTGCCTAACCTAGGCCTGGGAGTCAGGAAAGACTTCCCGGAGGAGGGGACAGCTAAGCTGAATCCCACATGATAAGTAGTGGCTATAGAAGACAGTGGAAGAGGTCTGAGGGTGATGAGCAACACAAAGCTGTTGGAGAGAGGACTTGCTAAACTGAACGAAGGAAAGGTGTGGAGACAGATTAGCAGGCACTGGGTGCTGAAGGCTTAAATTCCGGGGAGTTCAGAGCTTGAAGGCACCAGGCTGGGGGCGCCACCTGGGCAGGGGCAGGGCTGCCAGTGGAGAAGGAAGGACTCAAAAGACATTTAGGAGGTTGAACAGAAGGCACTGGGGAAAGCAAGCCCAGGGCAGGGGTAAGTAGCATGCATGAAGGGGCCGACAGCCCTGGGCCGGAGGCTTACCAAAACGGGGTGACTTTGGACGAAATACTTCAACTGTCCCGATCTCAAGTTTCCTCAGCTCCAGAGTGGGGCTGAGGGAGTGTGCGCGTGCGCGGAGCCCGCCAGGTGAAGGCGCAGTTAATCCTCCTCCTTTGCAGCACCTGGTCCCGGTTACCCTCCCTCTCCGCACCTTTTATACCAGCGGCTCCCCCCCTGGAATAGACCCCCCTTCACTCTTCCTTCAGGTGTCTGCGCACATGTTGCCCTGACACCCCATGTCAAACTCCTCTCTCCTCATTTGATAGCCTCAAATGTTCTGTGCTTGCCTTCCCACTAGGCTTCACCCCCGTCGCTGCTGATTAAATGTGTAATTAGTGATTGTTTAATGTTCGTTCCTTCCACTGGCCTGGGGGCAGTGCAAAGTCAGGGCTGGGGTTGTGCTCCCTCCCCAGCGCCGCCCAGCGCAGGGCAGGGCGACAAACAAACGCTCAGCAAATACTTGCTGAATGAGTGAGTGAATGAATGAATGAATGAACAGATATTTGTCGGATTAATAAGTGCACACGCTGTTAAATGCACGACGGAGCAGATGACTGGCAGCGTGAGTAAGCAAGGGAAGGGGAGAAACCCAGAATAATTCTCATTACCCCAGAACCGGAGTGCAGGCCAGTCGTTCTTTTGGAGTCGTGCTTGATATTCCCGGGGAAAAAGGGGTCACCCCTGGGAAACTCTTGCTGCCGAGGGCTCTGCAGACGGCGTTGCTCGCTGCACTGTCCGGGTCCTGAAGAAAAGAGCGAGGCTCCGCCCGAAAGGTGGAATTGAACCACTCTGTCGCTAGACAGCTACAGGTTTGAAGCCTGCACCCCAGACCACTGAGGATCATTCGGGCAAGTTTTGCTTTCTGCCGAGCAAGTATATAAAGCCCAAATATGCAAATTCTTTTAAGTTATGGTCATATAGTATGGCTAGGTGTGACATTGTTGCTGACAATATATTTCGATTCCTTCCAGGATTTATTCTGAAGGTTATTCTCTAACGTGTTGTCTTTGCCTCTCCTGGCGTGAATCATCGTCCTGCTGGAAACCGTCTTCATTTGCATAACGCCGCGCATTCTGGGAAGAGCATCCCGAAGACTAGGTCCGCTGGCCTCTCCTGTTAAAGGACCAAGAGCCACTTTTCTAAATGAGATCTTAGTTTTTTAAGAGACGGGTCCTATAAGTCGGCATACGTTTCCCCGAAAAATCTGAATCCGAGTGAGCAAGTTTCCTGCTAGAGTCCAATTTATAACGTGCCCAAGACCTAGCAGGTCTCCTGCTAGAATCTAATGGACCGCGCAGCGGCCATGGGGCTGGCGCGCCACCTGCTGTTCTTTTGTGGAACTTCAGCGACCTACGAGCCCTGTGTTCATTGAAAAGTTCAGCCCAGGCCCACTGATGCCCGGGCACTGTCCTAGGTGCTGGGAATGACAGCGCTGCTGTCCCCATTCGGCTTAGGCAGGAGAGATGATCAATTTCCATACCTCCATTGTATGACCGGGTAATCTGAGGCATAGAAACGGACAGCACCTGCCCAAGTTCACCCAGCCTATCCACCTATGGGGACCAAATCTGTGCCATCATAATTATTATTACCAAAAAAATGTTATCCTTTTATCACCTAAGTCGGAGATCCTTTCACAATATCTTCCCCTTATAGCGAACCTTCCTGTGACTCTCATTCCCGAGTAAAAGTCAAAGTTCTCACCACCGCCTTAAAAATTCCTATGGCCTAATTCCTTTCATGCCTCTGACTCCATCTCTTCTGTCTCGTCACACACTTGGCCTCAGGCATTCAAATCTGCTGCACACACCAGGCAAGCTCCTTTCTTAAGGTCCTTGAGTTGGCTGAGCATCCTTCCTTGAATGTCCTTTCCTCCACCTGGTCACATAACCATGTCCCTTCACTCTGGCTTCTGCTCAAATATCCACCAATGGAACAGGCACCCTGACCACCCTAAACAGTCTTTCCTGATCACCTAGTTTTAAATAACAAGCTGTGGCATCCCTGGTGGCCCAAGAGGTTAAGTTGCACCACTGTGAAGCTATCCGCAGCCACTGCAGCACAAGTTCGATCTCCTGCCAGGGAGGTGACCCACATGGAGCAGCAGACCTCTCCTGACTAACCTGCTGCTACTCTCAGCAGTGTATTTTAGTGGATCTGCCTGTTCTGCTCCCCACTCTGTCTCTGATGAATCCTCTCACCCTCCACATCTCTGGCCTACACCCCAGCTCTTGTATGCATAAGTAAATCTCTAAAAAAAAAAAAAAAAAAAAAAAAAAAAAAAGCCTCCCCCGTGGCACAGAGGTTGAGCGCTGGGTTGCAAAGCTGCTCGCAGCCTCTGCAGCACCGGTTCGATCCCTGGCTGCCAGGCGAGGGTCCCACATGGTGCGCAGACCTCTCCTGCTGCCAGCTGCTCCCCCCCAGCAGTGTACTTCGTCAGTCTGCCTGTTCTGCTCCCCACTCTGGCTCTGGTGAATTCTCTCACCCTCCCAAGCTTCTGACTGTACCCAGTGCTTGTATAAATAAATAAATAAATTTAAAAAAAAAAAAAAACAAAACAGGGCCTCCCTGATGGCGCAAGGGGTTAAGATGCAACCTGTGAAGCCACTGCAGCACGAGTTCGAGCCCCTGCCAGCCAGGGGGATACCTACATAGCGCAGCTGACCTCTCCTGTCTCGCCCACTGCTCCTCTCAACAGTGTATTCAGTCAATCTGCTTGTTCTGCTCCCCACTCTGTCTCTGGTGAATCCTCTCACACACACATGCCCACACCTCTGGCCTGTGCCCCAGTTCTTGTATGCATAAATAAATAAATATTTGAGAAAAATAAAAAATATAAAAAACAAACAAACAAGGACCTCCCTGGTGGTGCAGGGGGTTGAGCGCTGTGCTGTGAAGTTGTCTGCAGCCTCTGTCTTGCCCGCTGCTCCCCTCAGCAGTGCTTTCGGTCTGTCTGCCTGTTCTCCTCCCTGCTCTGTCTCTGGTGAATCCTTTCATCCTCCTGTGCCTCTGACTTGTACCCCAGTTCTTGTATAAAAATAAATAAATCTTTAAAAACAAACAACCATGCTGTGTCATCAGTCTATCCCTTGCCCTGCTGGACCTTTCTCCTTTACCCTGATTGCTGCCTACCATGTGTTGTGCCTGTTTGTTTATTTTTTTTATTGTCTGCTGTGGCTAGAATGTCAGCTCCATGAAGCCATAGATTTTTTTAGGGTTCATTTCTGAGTCCTGGGTGTGTGAGCAAATATTGTCCCTCTCCTTCTCTGAGCCTCCATTTTATCAACTGGAAAACAAGACAACTGATATCAATGAACAAATTATAACGAACAGATACTCACAAAAGCCTGACATGGAGCCAGGTGATTGGGGGGGCACTTAATAAGGTGTTTCCATCTCCAACATGTTTCTTGCCTCCAGAGGGAGTGTCAAAGATGGGCTTGGGGAGTTTAGCTGTTCCTAGACCCATAGAAAGTATAGAAAGTATGAATAAAAGATTGAGGAAATGTTGCCACATTTTTATTTGGAAATTTAAAACACTGTGCCTGTTTTGGCAAATCCATTTTCAAGTGAACACCCCCTAAGTCCTATTTTTTTCAGCTGGATAACTGCCATGAGGCAAATTCTGGGGCTGTAACTACTACTACAGTAACATCATGATCCATCTCTGAAAGTGTGATGTGTGTCGCCTGAGGCAAGAGAGACGATTTTAGGTGATGCACAAACAATTTCAAGTTAATAGTTGTGTGCTTATTTTTACTGTCATCTTCTATTTCTGGCAAGTGACACTGACTTTTCTTGGTGATACAGTACCATTTCTTTTGAAAAGACATTCTTTCCATTTTTTCTTCCTTGAGAAATTTTGTTTCTTTTCTTTGTATTTTATTTTCTCCAGGTGTTAAAAAATAAGTCAATTTAAAGAAAAGTGTTAGGTGAGTAGGAGAATGGTTGCTATACAGATCACGAAGCTCTCCATGGAATGGCTGAAATAGTAAGAGCAGCTTCTGTCCACCGGGCACGTATAGTACGCTAGGTCCTGCGCCAAGGCCTTTCCATGGGGGTATGGTTAGGGCAACAGTTTTCCATGTGAGCAAACGGAGGCGTCAATAGGTGAGTCGCTTACTCAGTGTAATGCGGCAAGAGGTTGTGAAGCTCGGAGTCATCCACCGGGTCTTTAGATCCCAGACTCCTGCTTCCTCCTCCTCTGGGTCACAGGTTTGCAATGAGGCCCAGAGAGGTCAGGAGGCCGTGTAGTTAGACCCAAAGCAGTTGGAGTGGAGAGAAGCGTGTGGGTGAGACATCTGGGCGATGGAGGGTCTCCCTGTGCCCAGCTCCGTGGCGCGGCCCTCTCCGCCCCCCAGCAAGAGGCAGTCACAGGCCCCGCGCCGGCACACCCAGATTTAGAATAGCCTGGGCATCCCGACAGATTATATGGGAGGGGGTGGCTGAGAAGTAGTTTAGGCCCTACCTGGGTCTCTGGTGACACCGTGGGCAGAGGACGTCCCTACGTTGGAAATCAAGTAGGACAAGGACATGTTGGGGTGAGGCAGGGCGGCGTCTTCCAGAAGGAAGCGTGGGTCTGGGTCTGGGGCGCAGGTGAGACAGCTGCTCGACGGGCAGAGAGCGGGGATCGACTCGTGATGTCTGCTCTGACCACAGGCATCAAAACTGGAGCCAAGATTGGCGAGCCCTGGGGTGTGGGGGGTTTCCCCTCAATCATTTCAAAATTTAAAGACATGGTAGAAGAGGCTCTGCACACGTGGGGAAGGTTCCTTTCTGCGTGCCAGGTGCTTTCTCATGCAGGAAGGTGGAAGTTGGAGGGACTGGAAGCACAGGAGGCCTTGGGTTTTCCACAGAAGTCTTTATTACAGTGTAAATCCAAGCTCAGGCCTACCCTGGGCCCCATGCAAAGCCCCAGCCTTGGGGCTACAGGCGTCCAGAAGACACCAGCCCCTCAGGGCGCCTCCAGCGGCAGGGTCTTGGGAGTGCAGGGCAGGGGTGGCCCTTATGTAGGCGACTACAAGTCCCAGCGGGCCCCGCGACTAAGGTGCCTCGCCTTTCCTCGACTCCTAAAGCAGAGCCTCTTGGGAAATGTAGTCCTCGCCGCTGAGACAATTTGTGCAAACTCCCTGGTGTGAACGAGCCTGACACCCACCTGGAAACAGCTCGGGCAGAGGCTGGGGAGGATGGGGATGGAAGGGAGATGGAGGCGGGCAGAGGGCAGCAGGGGGTGGGGCAGGCGTCCCGCAGACAGAGACACCCTTGTCATTCGGCTTTGGCTTTGGATCCGGAGACTGCGGCTGCTGCTGAGGCAAGGGCTCCGGTCCCTGGGATCTTAGCTCGGATCCTGAGGGAGAAGTAGATGGGGTCACCGGGTGGGACGAGCGATGGAGCAGGGGAACTAAGGGGAAAGCTGGGTAGAGGAACTAGATGAGTGCCCAAAGCCAGCCCCAGCTCTCCACCTAATGCACTTCTTTGGGATTATCGCTCACCCTTCTTTGAGAAGGGGACTTTCAGCCCCAAGAGATTTATGGGTAGGGGTGGTGCGGTGGGAGGGGGGTCCACAGGCTTCCCTTTCCCCGTCCCTTCCATGTCCACGCGATGCCCTTACTTAGCTTTGATGTGGCTCAACTGATTGGTCACCAATCCCACATACTGGTCAATCTGAGCCTGGGGAGACAAGTAGTGAAAGGAGAGATTGGAAGTGGGAAGTGGTCAGCCCTAAGTCCTACAAAATACCCTTGGAAGTCAGAAGTTCAAGCTGAAGGGGAAGTGCATTGGAACCGACTCTAGGTTTGGAGAGATGTCAAGTGGAAACAGGAGAACTGGCCAGCGAACGTGTGTGCTGGGCACAACTGTTAATCTTCGAGTGAAGGGTGTGTGTGCTTAGGGCTAGGCTGCGAGTAGAGGGTGGGCCCTGGTAGGATTTGCAGAATTCTGGACTGAGTTGATTTAAGTATCAGTTTAATTCATGTGCTAGTTGACTTTGTGACTCCGGCCTGTGACAGGTTACTTAGGACGAGCATCCTTTGGATCCCAGCTGTACTGGAGAAGGGAGTCTCAACCCATCGGCTCGATAGCATATAGTCAGTCAGCCTCGGTTATGTCAGTGTTCTGGGCAACAGTCACCCCACCCCGTTTCGACTTGATATCTGTCCCTGGCTGCTTCCGGAAGTGGGCACCCACTTCCGGTGGGGGGTGTCCATCAGACCCAGACTCTGCACAGTGGTAGATGGCCATCTGTCTGGATGTCTCCAAGGAATATGTTTGTCAGTGTCCAGAGGCATCTGGAGGAGGTGTTCATCTGTCTGCCTGCTTCGGTTGGGAGGCGTATTATTCACCCTCAGGTGGGTCAGGCTGCCTCTCTGTACCTGGGACACGTCCGATGGCCCGAATGTCAGGTGGGATTGTCACTGAGCCTACCTGCCTTGGTTTGGGGCATGCCAGTCAGAACCTGATTCTGCCAGGGGTGGGGACTGACACCCCTGTCTCTGGCTGGGACCTCTGTCAGGGGGACCCTGGCTTTGGCAGGGAGGACAGTCAGGTCACCCGGGTTTGGCTGGCCTCCTGCCAGCTGAGCCTGTTGCTCTCACCTGGTGTTGCCGGTACAGCAAGGGGATGGTGAACAAACCAATCACTCCTGCGGGCACAGAGATGGGGGGTCAGGCTTCTCCCAGGAGATGACCAGCTCCATCCTTAGCCCTGTTCCCCACCAAACCCTAATGTCTCATATCTCCACCCCATCCCCACAGCCTTCCCAGCTCACCCAGAATGAGAAGAGTCAAACCATTGAAGACGGCACCCACGAAGGTCAAGATGTAGAAGAGAAAGGCCAGCTGGGGGTGAGGGTCAGGGTCAGAAGCTGACAGGGCACTTCCCAGGCTGCGACCTTAGCCGGCAATGGCCCTCCTACCCCCCCTCCCGGGGGGCAGGAGGTGAATGCTGGGAACCCAGGAGGAAGTGGGCATTTGGGGGCACCTTGAGGGAGTCCACCAGATCTTCTACCAGGAAGAAATGCCGCAGCTGTGTGGCCGCGTTGACCATGCGGGAGGCAATTTGCTGGGACAGACGCTCCGTCTGCTCCCGAGTCAGGGTCAGGTCCACGTCCAAGTAGGCCCTGAGGGGAGAGAGGGGTGGAAGGTGACTCTTTGGGAGGATGCGACCCAAGCTGAGAGGTGTGTCTGCGACAAGGGCAAGAAATGGGGCCGGGGGAGGCGACCACCTCAAAGTCAGGAGGTAGAATCCAGGCTTAGGGTGAGAGGTCAGGATCAGAGGTTAGGGCTGAGGTGAAGGGTCAGAATCTGGGTTAAAGTCAGGTGCAAGGTCAGGCCGGAGCCAGAAAAGGAAAGAGGATGGATTAGCGTAAGAGTCTGTGGCAGACTGGAGGTCAGGGTGATGACCTGGGGTCAGGGGCAGAAGGTGGGGTGGGGGCCGGGGGCTGGGGTTCTCACTGGAAGGGGTTGGCACCGTCCCCCCGGTGCACAGCCTGCAGCACTTTGCGGTAAACCCTGAGAGAGATGGTGCCGCAGAGCAGCAACAGGGCCACGTGGGCGGCCACCGACACGATGCTAAAGTGCAGGAGGCAGAGCAGGGACACCATGAGGCCTGTGAAGACCCCGCCAGACGTCTTCGTGTCCTTCCAGTACAGCAGGTCCACCACTAAAGGAGGGAGGAGGCCATGAGACCGGGGCCGAGACCGCCCGGCCGCGCTGATTCTCCCAGGCCCCGGCCCGGCACCGACTTCTGGACGCGCAAGTCTGAGCCTCAACCCAACTTCCAAACTTTCAGTGTCTTCTTTTGTTCCCTGCCTGCCTCGCCTCCCCTCCTCCTCCTGAAAAGCCCAGCGAACCAGCTAGCAAAGTCCCTTTGATCTGGACCCTGCCCATTGATTAGGTGTGGCCGGATTGGGGTGGTCAGGCATGAAAAGCAGGCCCTAAGAGGCACTTCTCCGCATCATGCGTGACTCACTCTTCTTTGCCGCCTACAATTCCCTACTGGGCAACTGGAAAAGCTTAGTTCACTCTTCTGGAGAGCCCCGAGACACCCCACAGTGCGTCTGCATCACGGCTCACTTCATTCCTCCATGTACCTGTTGCTGGGTCATTGGCCATGCCTCCCCTCCCTGCCCAGCAGAGCTGCCCGCCTCCTTCCGCAGATACCCTTCCCTCCTGGAGGTTCTATTTCTGCCGTCTGGGGTGGGGGGGTAGTGGGGGAAGAGCAGCGTGGACTAGTTCGGTATCTTGAATGTCATGAATATAATCAGTTGCTTACTGGCAAGACTAACAATTCTCATTTCCACAAGCAACATCAGAGCCATCTTTCCCCAGCGACCGGGCCAGCACTAGGTGTTACTGTTGTTTGGAACCTTTGCCAACCCGACAGGTGTAAGCGGATAGCTGCGTGACACCCCTGCCGCCGCTCCTCTGAGTCCTAACTATGAACACCACCAGGCTCCCTGTGAATTGCACAGGCCAAATCACCCTTTCTGTGACCCCAACGCACCTCCAAGTCCAGACCCCAGCACTTCATCCCACCCATATAAATTGGAACAGCCCTCACACAATCTGCTCCTAGTAGAAACCTGACCTAGGAGCCCAGACCCTTCCATTTCCGTGCAGACCCCCCACTTCCTTCAATCAAACCCTGATTCACCAGCGACCTGCCCCCTTCAGCGGGGCTCCCCTCACTTCTGGATCATCCTAATACACTCGCTCCAAGTAGGACAGGTCGCCTCCTCTCCCCGCACCGAGCCCCCTCCACGCCCCCCAACACTCCTCTGCGGGCTCCCCAGGCCCAGGCCGGCGCCAGTGGGTGGGGGGAAGGGCCGGGTCGCCTGAGGCGGGGGCTAAGTTTAGGCTCGCGGGGGGAGGGGGCCCAGCCCGCAGCTGTGCCGGCCCGTCCAGCTCCTGAGTGACAGCGCCTCCTGGGCCTGCGGCTGGGGGAGGAGGGGCTCCCTGCTCTTGGGGCCTAAAGCCCAGGCTCGGCGAAGAGGGGACCCCACGCGCGCTGCACACCCGCCCTGCACACCCCGTTACCCCAGCCCCAGGCCTAGCCTGCAGCTCTGGGGAACCCGAGACCAACAGGGAAGATTCCCCCCAGACTTTTGGGAAACAGGAGCCAATGTGCGCCCTTTTCCACTGACCCCCCGCCTGCGTCCCAGCCCCCTCCCCCCCAAAGCCCACCTTTACTCCCCATCTCTGCTCCGACTGAGAGGCTGCGGACGCCGCGGCTGCTGGGGGATTTGGCCCACTCCTGGGGAACCCGAGGGAGGGAGCAGAGGGGCGGCCCCTCCGCCCCCAGCCAATGGCTCTCCGCAGAGGTGGGGACAGGTCCAAAAAGGGGCGGCTTTCTCAGTAAACAGCCGAGGCCACTGGTGTCAATAACCAACCGCAGGGCTGTACCTGGAGGCCGAGCAAATTTGAAAGCAAGGGATCCGTTTGCCGCGGGCCGACAGATGTGATCAGAGAAGGGACTTTTTGAAAGGTGTAAGTTTACTGGTCAGTGTCCCGCGGCCAGAGGAGACAACCCGACTCCTGGCGGAGGCCTGGCCTTTCCAAAAGCAGCCTCTAGGGGGCGACTGCCAACAGAATTTTTTTTTGTTTGTTTGGTTTTTGTTTTTGTTTTGGGTTAACTTCTCAAAGGAGAGGGAGAACTATTAAAAAAAAAAAAGCCAATGGCAATCTTAACGAGAAAAAAATTTAAGGGCGACGTTTATAATGTTTAGTCAAGCGTAGGATTCTCCCCCCTTCGCCACTCTGCAATGGTCTTTCCGGGGCTGGTCTCTAAACTCCCATCCCCGCGGACCTCCCTGGAGGCAAAAGGCGTTGAGACGCAACCTATGAGGATGTTGGCAACCACTGCAGCACGAGTTCGACCCCCGGCCAGGGATCAACCCACATGGCGCAGCAGATCTCTCCCATCTTGCCCGCTGCTCCCCTCAGCAGTGTATTTCAGTCAGTCTGCCTGTTCTGCTCCCCACTCTGTCTCTGGTGGATCCTCTCACCCCCTGCATCTCCGGCCTGTACCCCAGCCCTTGTATAAACAAACAAACAAACAAACAAACAAACAAACAAACAAACAAACAAACAAACAAAGAAACTCCAATCCCGGAGCCTCGCTCCAGACTAAAGCAGCCCTGTCACTCTCGCCGCTTACCTAGAAGGTGTGGTTCCAATGTGAATTCTGATTGGTCTGTGATATCGAGGCACTGCCCCGTGATTGGTTCCCACTCCAGCGGCCCCCACTGCTCTTCCTCCTTCTCCTCCGGGGAGGGCTCATCAGGCCAAGAGTTCGAATCCCGAGACCCAGGAGGGGACGGGGTACAGGCTTGGGGGGTCCCACAGCCCGGGCTGAGCTGTGGAGCCAAGACTTCGGGCAGCGAAGAGGGAGCGAGTCCGAGTTGTAGGTCCAGTTCTGGCACGTTAGAGAGAGAAGGCTGTGAGCGTTCACCTTGGAAGGGCCCCACGGAAAGACCACCCGCCCCTGTGACTTCAGTCTCGGCTCTTGGCAGGCTCACCTTTGCCCGCCTCTCTAGCTTCTGGTCCTTCGGGCTCCTCGTCTTCCAGCGGGGTGGAGCTACTGGTGGCTGAGTCCTCCCCGGACCCGGACCCCCGAGCCCCCCAGCCCAACTGGTCCAGCTGGAGCCGCAGATCCTCCAGGGGACGCTCGGTCGGAGGCGCAGCGTCGGGGTCCCCACAGCGCCCGGGCTCCGGGGACTGGCTCAGGCTGGGGATGCTCTCCAAGCTGTCGCCCAGGCCAGGCTGAGGAGGCGGATCTCGAGGTTCCGACACTGAACGGCCCTGAGGCCGGGGGCGGCGTGCAGCTGAATCCCGGCGACCCCCAGAACCCACCACGCCGTCGAAGGCGATGTAGGAGAAGGTCAGCTCCCGGGGGGTGCCCCAGTCCTGCGACGTGGTCTCTTCCTCGTCGTCCTCTGAGAATTCTCGGGCTGTGTGAAGCTCCCGAAAATCTGAGTCGTCGTTCCCTCCTGTCGTGAGCAAAGGAGGCCCGTGAGTGCCTCTGAGAGGAGCTCTGGCCTACTCTCCTCAGCCGTGCCCAAGACCCACTCTTTTTTTTTTTTAAAGATTGATTTATTTATACAAGAACCGGGGTACAGGCCAGAGGTGCGGGAGGGTGAGAGGATTCACCAGAGACAGAGTGGGGAACAGAACAGGCAGACTGACTGAAATACACTGCTGAGGGGAGCAGCGGGCAAGACAGGAGAGGTCAGCTGCACCATGTGGGTATCTCCATGGCCGGCTGGGAATCGAACCTGTGCTGCAGAGGCTGCAGATAGCTTCACTGTGTGGTGCTCAATCGCCTGTGCCACCAGGGAGGCCCCCAAGACCCACTCTTAAATCCTCCCACTCCACTTACCTTCTGTGGAGTCAGGGGTAGAGGAGGCTGTAGACGGAGCTTCTTCTGCGAGAAGGAAAGAATCGAAGGCTCTTAGACCGTCAAATCACAGAAGGGTGCCAGTCCTGGAAACTTGGATGGTCCGAATTAAGGAATCTTAGAATATTTGAACTACAGGACCTTTAGAACATTCTGCATACAGACAGTAAACCTTACTAGCACTGCTAGAAGTACAAATCCAAGATTCTTAATCTTAGAATCTTCACTGAAGATGTTAGGAGAGTTCAATTCATCCAACAACCATTTATTTAAAAAGCACCTACTACATGGCACGGTTTTATTCCCTGAGGATACAACTGTGGACAAAACAGATAAAATCAGTGACCTCACATAGCTTCCACTCCATGCGGCAGACAGCGATGAACAATTAAATGTAAGATGTGAGTGCTAAATGTGTGGAGAAAAATAAAGCAGGATGAGGGAAGATAAGGTGAGGGGTGCTATTTCAGACAGGCTGGCGGGAGGGACTTCTCTGATCAGATGCCATTTGAGCAGAGAGTAAGTGAGTGAGTGAATGAGGAAGCCATGAAGATATTTAGGGGAGACTCTTACAGGGAAAGCAAGAAATCAGTGCAAAGGCCCTGAGTTAGGGACAGTGCGTGGCATATATGGGGAACAGACAGGTGTGAAGGTGTGACTTAGAGTGACCGAGGGGGAGAAGGGTGGGAGATGAGGGCAGAGAACTAAGGCTGGGGAGGGCATGTAGAGTCTTCCTGGGTAAGCTGAGGTAAGGACAGGACCTTAGACTATTATGATGAGCCTCTAAAATGCTGAAATAACAAATTCTTAGAATTTTGGCACCTGCACTCCCAAGGCATCAAGTGGTTGGGTGAAACCCCTGGCCGGTAGAAGCACGAGGGTGTGGGACAGAAAATGCCAGGCAAGGACTGTTAGCTTCAATGAGCTCAGTGCTGGGGAGGGTCAGATAGGGGTTTTCAATGTGGGATCGCGGGCCTCAGCGCTGGCTTGAGGCTTTGCCTACAGGAGATGTTCAATGGCATTTGGAAATTGAAATTGGATGCCCCCAGCCCCCACCTGGTTTCCTCAGCTGGGGAAGCAAAGGCCCACAGTGGAGTGGGTCTCCCCCAGGGTTGCTACTGATCAGGGTGCAGCCTGCTAAGGATGCAGGACTCCAAGCCTGGGATGGCTGTTTCCCGTGGACAGGGGACTGGACAATTCGGGCGAGGTTGGGGCCGCCTGTGTCTCGGCAGAGAACGGAGGTGGGATGCGAGGATGCGCGGTGGGGGAGGGTCAGACGCCCCTTCTCCAAGCTGGCTCTCCCCCTCCATGCAACTCTCCTCCCTGCCAGCCGCGGCCAGGACCCGGGCGAAGGGACAGCGCCCGGCGAGCGTCCTCAGCCTCTAGGGACCCGGCCACACATCCCGGCCCCTGGGCGACTCCGAGCCCCGCCAGGTATCTCAGCGCCCCCCAGCGCTGCCCTGCCTCACTCAGGCTCTCCGGGCAGGTCGCCCCCGACGTCGCCAGAGCGCGGGGGGAGGGGAGCGCGTCCTTTGTCTCTCGCCTCCTCCCCCATCCCGGCTCGCCTGAAGCTCGGCTCCGAGGGGATACCGGAGAGGAGCGCCCCAGGGCTCCGGTCTCCACCCCAGGCCCGAGCCTCCCCCTACTCACTGCAGTGGGCGAAGACCGGCAGGACCTGCCCCATGGCCCCCCTCGGGCCTGCATCGGGACCCCCGCCCACTCCGGCCGCGCCGCCCTGGGCCCGGGGCCGCGGGCGCTCATCTCCGCCGCGCCCAGGACGCCGCCGCCATCCTCGCCGCCGCCTCCTCCCGGGCCGCTCCAGCAGCCACCGCCGTTGCCGCCGCCCTGTGCTCGGCTCGGCGGAGGCGGGCGGGGCGCCGTGGGGAGCACTGCGGCGCGGGGCGGGGCGGGCCGGAGGCGGGCGGGGCCGAGCCTGGGGGAGGGGGGGGCGGGGCAACCCGTGGCGCTGGGAGGGCGTGGCTTTCCCACTCGAGGGCGTGGCTTTCCCACTAGGGGGCGTGGCCGCGCGAACCGGCTACCGGGCCGCGGCCGGGGAGGCGGCCCAGGGGCGGAGTCGAGCGGAGGGAGGCCCGCCCGCTAGGGAAAGGGGCGGGGCCTGGGGTGGGCCGAGGACGGGGCCAGGATCTTAGAGCTGGTTGGGGCGGAGCTGGGGATGGCGTTGAGGAGAAGGTGTAAAAATTCTACTTCGCCGAAGCAGGACCGAGCTTAGGTTCAGAGAGAGTGGAAAGGGGGCACAGAAGGAAACTGCAGTCCTCAGAAATTTTTTTAATTTTTAATTAATTAATTATTTTATTTATTTATACATGCACTGGGTACAGTCAGCAGCGGGCGGCAGGAGAGGTCTGCGCGCCATGTGGGACCCTCACCCAGTGGCCGGGGAGCAGCCGGGGATCGAACCGGCGCTGCAGAGGCCGCGGGCAGCTTCGCAACCCAGCGCTCAACCGCTGCGCCACCGGGGAGGCCCGTCCTCAGAAAGTCTTGAGGCAAGGGGAGAAACACAGACCTGAGAGGAGCTTGGGCTGGTCTAGAACTGTTCGGACAGTTGGGCAGGATCTGGCCGAGATGGAGGGGCCAGAGGCGCGGCCTGGAGGGATCGCCCGGAACTGGGAGGGAGGAGGCGCGGCCTGCAGGGGGGTAACCCGGGGCGGGCGGAGTAGGGCTGGGGCCTCGAAGCCAGGGGTTGTGTTGAGAACACAGATTCCAGAGTTCGTTTCTCTGCAACGCTGTTCACTGCCGTGATTAAGTTTCTTCTTCGGAAAATTGGAGATGACAGAAAATAAGAGTGCACCACATAGTGTCACTATTATTTATGTGTCACTATTACATGTCACTATTATTTTCCCCGACAGTATCCCAAACCTCACTTTGAAGGCGCAAGAGAGAGGAGACCCAGGAATCTAATCCGTCTAGTGATTCGACTTTTGTGCAGGTCAAGGGCATAGGAAGTAGATTTAGGGGTTTTAAGACCTCACAGTGGAGAAGATGAAAGGGCCGGGGGCGGGGGGCGCAGGCTCAGAGAGAGGAGCCTTCCAGATCCCAGGACCAAAGGCTGGCGGCCCTCGCCGGTCCGGTCTGCTGGCGCCCCCTCTGGCCTGCTCTCCAGGAGGAGGAGGCGCAGGAAGAAGGGCTCGGGACTCACCAGGTCCCTCCGTCCCTTCTGCACGCGCCGCGATGCGCCCAGCGGCCGCACGAGGGGGCGGCGGCATCCTCGGGATGCGTTTCGCGGCGAGCGCAGCGCAGGGCTGGCGCGCGGATGCGGAGGACGCGCACAGCGCGCGGCTCCCGGTACCCGCCTGCCCGGAGCTGGGCTGTCTTCGCGGTCCTTGACGGCTACCGGGGAGGCGAGCCGCTCCTGCCAGGACACGCGCTGGGGGACCGAGGCCCGGAGCCCGAGAGCCGGCGGGCGTGCGCCGGGCGCTGCGCAGCGCCTCCCCGAGCGCAGACGCCAGGCGAGCCCGGCGGCCCCACCGCGGTGGCCTCGCTCGTGCGCCGCGATCTCTGTACCTGGCGCGCTGCGGGCCTGAGCCGCGCTGGAGCCGCGGCCTTCAGCGCCAGCACCGTCGGCCCCTCCGGCCGCGGGAACGAGAGCGCACCACGCCGCGGGCGGCACCTTCGCCGCAGGCGACTCGAGGGCTCCGGGCAGTGTCTTGAGTGTTGGGCGGCTTTGCCTGCAAAGAGGCCCCGAGGGCCCCCCGAGCTTCAGCTCGTGCCGGGAAGCCGGGGGTGACCGCCCTGGCTCGCCGGGCTGAGGACGCGGCCACGCTCCCGGCTTCCCGCGGCCTGTGGGACGCGACGTCCCGCGCTGCCTGGAGGGAGGAGCGGCGCGCGTCCCAGCCCGGGTTTGGCCCCGGAGCTTCTCTGCGCCCGGATGTTGGCCACGTGTCTGTGCAAGGCCCTGGGATGGGGCTGTGACCTCGGAGGGAAACCCGACTCTGGGGTAAAAGGGGCGTCGAAGGAGAGACCTGAAAAAGCTACGGGATGCGGTGCCTTCCCTGGGGGCGTGGCCTACGGAGGGCGTGGTCTGCGGGAGGGCGTGGCCTGCTGGAAGTGGGCGGAGCCCAGAGGGCAGAGCCTGAGGATGCCATGAGGCAGGATATGTTAGATGGAGAAATTTATTTAAGAGAAAGGGCGTGGCCTTTTAGAATGGGGTGGCACTGAGACTTAAAAGTGGGTGTCGAGGTATAGTTTGTGCCAGAAAGGAAAAGGGTAGAGGGGGAGGAGCTTCGGGGAAGGGCGTGGTTCTCTGATCTTAGGCAGGTAGGACAGTGGCCTAAGGGATTGCGCTGAGTGAGAGGACTTAGACCAGCAGAGGGGCAGGACTTGAGAAATGTGCACAGCCAGACTGGCGAGGAGGGCACTAGAACACGGGAATTGTTGGTAAGTTCTGCTTCCTTGGCCCTGCAGCCCCTGCTGGGCCTTCCTCCGTGTGCCACGGGGCTCCCTTTCTCCATCTTCAGGACAGCCAGGACAACACGACCTGCGTCCTAGTCTGCTTCCCAGGGGTGCCCAGGCCTTTCGAGAAGGCAATTAGGAAGGAGCTAGGCCTGGACACAGCCCTGGGGTGCAGGGTGGCGGGTGAGCAGGCGCCAGAAGGGCAGGATGAGGGTGGGAAGCAGGGTCTCCAGGATAACTCGTCTCCTCAGAGCTTTGTGCCTCTGCCCAGGTATCCCCCAGCCTGAACATGGTTTTCAGAACTCTGGCCTCCTGACTTTACCTCCTGGGGGAGGGCTCTACTGCCAGTGAATCTGGATAGGGTGGGATGGAATGGGGTGGTGGGAGAAGGGTCATCCCCTGAGGGTCTTTCTCTGTTCTCCAGAGCCATGGTCATCGCTGAAGTTTATTCTCAGTTCTACCAGACCTCTGCAGTGTGTTGGGAGGTGAGGACCATGTGATCTTCCATGTTTCCCTTAGAAGTATGTGATCTGGGGCTTCCCTGATGACACAAGGGGTTAAGCATCAGCACTATGGAGCAATTCCCAGCCACTGCAGCATGAGTTCGATCCCCCGGCCAGGGAGCTGACCCACATGGCACAGCAGACCTCTCCTGACTCCCCATTGCTCCCCTCAGCAGTGTATTTCAGTCAATCAGCTTGTTCTGCTCCCCCACTCTGTCTCTGGTGAATCCTCTCACTGCCCCCCCAACCTCTGGCCTGTACCCCAGTTGTTGTATGCATAAATAAACAAATCTTAAAAAAAAAAAGAAGTATGTGATCCAATCCCTCCCCACCCTCCTCTTTAATGATGAGAAAACTGAGGCTGGAGGGGACAAGGGACATGCCTGATATATTAATAAATTCTCACTCTTGGTCTTGAAGCTTTTTGTGAGGCATAATAGGGTGGTGCAGAAACAGAGGAGAGACTGTTTCTTCACCAAGAAATGTGCCCCCTGTGATGCTCTGTAAAGCCTCATCACCCCTGGAACCACCCGCTCCATCCAGGAATAAGGCAGAAAAATGCAAGGAATGTGGACGACCAGCTCCAAGGCCTGAATACCCCACAGATGGCATGAGGGCCTATCTGAGGATGAGAGAGCTTGTGAATTGAACCCAGACAGTCTAGAAAAATCTGGAAGTGTCCAAAGAGGTGGTAGGCAGAAGAACCTTGTAAACTAAGGCATGAGGTTGGGGTCAGGGAGGAAAGGTAAAGAAGGAAGCGGGCCCGCATTCGAAGTCCTTTGCATGGCAGAAAAGGAAGTTAGGTCGTTACCACTCCGAGGAGGGGGGGTTGTGATTTTCTCGCTGCAGAAGGAGGTGTCTGTCAGGATTCCTGGAGTTGTGTGACAAAAAGCTAACTGTACAGGGGGAAGTAAAACAGGGAATTTTCTAGGCGGTTTCATTAAAGAGGTTGAAGGCAGGACTGCGGACAACCGTCATATAATAACATCAAGGTCTGGTCCGTAGTTTCATTTTCTCTGAGTTGGTTTCATTCCCAGGCAGGGTCTCTGTAGGAGACGGCAGAGATGGGGTTCTGGGTTGCCAATCTAAGAACTTAATTTCCCATTCTCATTGGCCACACGCCTGCTGAGGGACTGTATCCCTGATTGGCCAGACAAAGGGTCACATTGTAAGGGGGAAAAGGATGTCCTAAAGCTAAGTCCATACAGGCTTTGTGGACTCCACCCCCACCCCAGGCCAAAGCCAAAGCCACTGGGAACTCCAAATCCCATCCCCACCCAAGGGAAGGTGGCTGGGACCTGAGGGTGGGGTTCAGCAGCCGGGTTGGTATAAAGCCAGACACGTGGGCTTTGGGGGGATTCCCCCATTTTGACTCTCCGCCAGCTCGCAGCGTCCGGCCAGCTCTGAGAGTGCCTTTGGGTTTCCAGGTCGGTGGATAGGGTAGGACGCATTAAAGACTTTATTTCCCTATTTTCTCCCTGAGTTGTACATTTTCCTTATTTCCTTTTCCCTTGTAAATAAACCTTGTATTAACCTTTTGTGTGTGCCTGTAGTGGAGTATTCATAAGTCCCTTTTAAGCGTGCGGGTGAGGACCCACAGCCAGGCAACCTGTTCAATATCGGGGCTGCCCTATAACAGCATGACCACAGGCTTGGGACTGGGGTCCACTCCACCCAAACCTGATGGATTGAGAGACTGGTCAAAGAGGAAGAGGGGCAGTGGTCTCGGAATGTGGGTGGGGAGCACAGATGCCAAGAGGCAAGGAGGGGTTGCTATTCATGTCTCCCCCATTTTGTGTTACAGAAGGGGCAGGATGGGGCTGGGAAGCCCACTGCCACCCACTCCCCCTTGGACCTGGAGACCTGACATCTGTCATTCTTTGGGGACCCTCTCCCCAACTTGGGCCTCAAATGCACTAAGGAGGAACCCTTCCTTTCTCCAGCTACACAGACCAGCGGAAGGAAGACGAGCTGATGGAGGAACCCCAAAATGCTTATTTCCCCTTCTCCTACTTCCCTCTCACACATAGATTCATGAGGGGAAATTCCACCCATCATCTAGACCAAAACAAAACAAGGGCCTCCCTGGTGGCGCAGGGGTTAAAGTCTCAGCACTATGAAGCTATCAGTAGCCACTGCAGCGGTTCGATCCCCAGCCAGGGAGCTGCCCACATGGCACAGCAGACCTCTCCTGACTCGCCCACTGCTCCCCTCAGCAGTGTATTTCAGTCAATCCACCTGCTGTTCCCCACTCTGTCTCTGGTGAATCCTCTTACCCCCTGCACCTCTGGCCTCCTCCCAGTTCTTGTATGCATAAATAAATAAAAAATAAATCTTTAAAAAAAAAAAAAAGCCTCAAAACCCAAATTTTTTTTTTAGATTTATTTATTTATTTATACAAGCCCTGGGTACAGTCAGAAGCCCGGGAGGGAGAGAGGATTCACCAGAGCCAGAACGGGGGAACAGAACAGGCAGACTGACGAAGAGCACTGCTGAGGGGAGCAGCGGGCACGGCAAGAGAGGTCTGAGTGCCATGTGGGACCCTCAGGGATCGAACCGGCACTGCAGGGGCTGCGGGGGCTGCGGGCAGCCTCGCAACGCAGCGCTCAACTGCTGCACCAATGGGCCCTGAGGATTATTACCTTGTTCAGGAACCTTCAATCGTTTGGAGGGAAGTTCAAAAAATCCTTTCCTTGGGCCTCCCTGGTGGCGCAAGGGGTTAAGGCGCAGCACTATGAAGCTATCCATGGCCACTGCAGCACAAGTTCGATCCCTGCCCAGGGAGCTGACCCACATAGCACACAGCAGACCTCTCCTGTCTCACCACGCACTGCTCCCCTCAGCAGTGTATTTCAGTAGATCTGCCTGTTCTGCTCCGCAGTCTGTCTCTGGTGAATCCTCTCACCCCTCCACACCTCTGGCCTGTACCCAGTTCTTGTATGCATAAATAAATAAATCTTTAAAAGAAAATCTTTTTCTTATTGAAGAAAAATCCAAACATTTTTTGGCCGATCTGTCAACAAATGTGTGATATTTGTTTTCCCTGAATGTCCAAGGGGGCTGGGTTCCAGGACCCCCCCAGCCTCCACACTCCATGGACTCTCAAGTCCCTTATATAAAATGGCACAGTATTTTGGGTGTAACTTGCACATACCTTCAGTGTTCTTTAAATCATCTCCAGACTTATACTGACTACAGTGTAAAGGATACATAAATAATTGTTTTACTGTGTGTAAATAGTTGTTAAACTGTGTTGGTATAAGAACAAAGAAAAGTGTCTGTACCTGTTTCATATACACTTGCAACCATCACAGGCCTAACTTCACGCTTCCCACCAGCAGGCAGTTGCTTAAATCCAGGATTTGGAACCTGAGGGGATACAGAGTTGTCTGTATTGAGCACCTCCTGTATACAAGGGCCTGCTCACAACCAGGAACCAGCCAGACCCTCTGAGATTCCTGCACTCCCCACACCCATGGTGTGTGTGTGTGCATGCGTGAGTGCATGTGTGTGATAGCAAACAAGGAAACCAATACCGGAGGTCAGCTCATACACTGACAAGTGTCAAGGAAAATAAAAGGGGCCTCCCTGGTGGCACAAGGGGTTAAGGCACAGCACTGTGAAGCTATCTGCAGCCACTGCAGCACAAGTTCGATCCCCTGCCAGGGAGCTGACCCACATGACGCAGCAGACCTCTCATGTCTACCCGCTGCTCCCCTCAGCAGTGTATTTCACTACATCTGCCTGTTCTGTTCCCCACTCTCTCTGGTGAATCCGCTCACCAACCCCAACCACACCTTTGGCCTACACCCCAGTTCTTGTATGCATAAATAGACAAATAAATCTTTAAAAAGGAAAATAAAAGAAGGACAGGATAAGAAAAGGACCTGGAAGCTACTTTTAAAAAATTGTTACTCATGATTTCTTGGGTGGGTACTATACATTTACTAGGTTGAAAATTCAAAGATGGAGAAAAGTCTCTGTCGCTTGCCCCTCAGGGTGATGGATGATTTAGACAGGGGGGTCAGGGAAGTTCTCCAAGGAGAGGGGTCAATTGAGCAAAGATGGGACAGAGAAGCAGCCAGCCATGCAAGTACCCGAGGGAAGAACATTCCAAGGCAGAGGAAACAGCCATTTCGAAAGTCTGGAGGCAGGATCAAACTTGGCATTTTCAAAATGAGGGGTGAGAGCTCTAGGTAAGTATGGCGATGACTTTGGAGTGGACTTTCCCAGACCTCTTGTTTTGTATGTTCATGCATGTATAGGGCACCTTAGATGATTTTCTTCATAGCCCAGACATCATTGGGCAATATTGGGTTTGTTTTTGCCAAATAATCCATTGGTGACTTCTTTCATGCCATTTACACATCTCATTCTTTGTTGCTGCCTTTGTGCATTAGTTTTGTTTTCCATCATCCCCATGATGGACATTCAGGCTATTTGCAATTTCTTGCTCTCAAACCATTGCTGTCCTTGATCAGCCTCCTTGTGAGCATCTGCAAGAGTTTCTCCAGCTTGGGAGCCTTGCTACCCGCTTCATACAGTATTTGAGCTAAGATTTATTTACTTACATTTTTTTTTAAAAGATTTATTTATTTATTTATTTATAGTTTTATTTTTATATTCCCCATACAATTGCAACCCCCTTATTTTGACCCAATCCCTCCTTTCCCCTCCCTCCCCCCCATAGTGAGTCTCGAGTTCATAGTTGTTTATTTATTTTATATAGGAACTGGGGTACAGGTCAAAAGCGTGGGAGGGTGAGAGAATTCACCAGAGCCTGAGCGGGAAGCAGAGCAGGCAGATGGAACGAAGACACTGCTGAGGGGAGCAGCAGGTGAGGCAGGAGAAGTCTGCTGCCCCATGTGGGAATCTCCCTGGCTGGTGGGGAATCGAACCAGGCACTGCAGAGGCTGCGGAAAGCTTCCCAGCGCCGTGTTCAACCGCTGTGCCACCGGGGAGACCCTATTTATGTACATTTTTAAAAGATAGTAAAAAGGAAAGAATAATAGGGGAAAGAGATTCTATGTCCATGCCTAGGATATTTCATACTAGGACCTTTACATAAAAAGTTTGCTGACCGGAGCTTCCCTGGTGGCACAGGGGTTAAAGTCTCAGTGCTATCAAACTATCGCCAGCCACTGCTGCACAAGTTTAATCCCAGCCGGGGAGCTACCCACATGGCGCAGCAGACCTCTCCTGTCTCACCCACTGCTCCCCTCAGCAGTGTATTTCAGTCAATCTGCCTGTTCTGCTCCCCACTCTGTCTCTGGTGAATCCTCTCACCCTCCTGCACCTCTGGCTACACCCCAGCTCTTGTATGCATAAATAGATAAATCTTTTTTAAAAAAAGTTTTCTGACTGTAGTGCAAGTGGCATACAGAAATGCACTCCTCCCATTTCACAGATGGGAAAACTGATACCCAGAGCAGAGCAAGGACTTGTCCAAGGTCACACAGAACAAGGGTTTTCATTCAGTTGGTTGTTGCCCCTGGTCAGTTTGGGTTGAGGGAGACCTGGAATTGATCAGGTCTGCCCCTGATCCCAAACAACAGCGAAGACACACAGAGAAGCAATTATAACCTTGGCAGATCAGAGTCTGCGAGAGGAGAGTGCAGGATGGGCGATTACTCAGTTCTTCCGAGAAGAGTTAAAGTCCGAGCCTGGTGTGAGGATGAGGTGAACAAAGTCAGGAGACCTCCGGGCAGGGGCCCGCCCTGGGCAACGGCTGGGAAGGCTGGTTCTCCCTCCTAGTCAGCGGGGTCTTGAGAACTGTTGACTTTGCACCCAAGAACCACCGGAGCTCTGGGGGGCTCGGACGAGAGGGCCATCGCCCAGATTTCTTTCCTGCCTCCAGGTCTCAGTTTCCCCATCCGTGAGCGACCTGCCGATTTCCCAGGCTCCGCCCCAGCCCCGGGGGCCTCACCCCGGCCAGGTGGCGCTCGGCGGGGGCGTGGCCGCGCGTGACGTCACCGGGCGGGGCCTGCGGGCCCCGCGGCGGAAGCCCGGGAGGGTGTCGGGCTGGGCCGAGGACCGCGCGTGGGGCGGGGCCGGGGGCCAGGCGGGGTCCGCCCCGGCGCCCCCCGACGGCCGACGACCCCGCATCCACCGTGGGCGGGGCTGCGCGGCCGGGGCTTCACCCGCACGGGACCCCGCAGGCCCATCCCCACCCGGCCCAGCCGCGCCCCCGCCCCCGCCCCCCGGGGCGTGAGTCAGCGGCGGCCACGCCCCCCCGGCCGCTTCCTCCTCACCTTCCCGGGGGGCCGGGGGCGGCGGGGGGCCGGGCCCCCCCACCCGCGCCCCGGGGAGGAGGAGGAGGCGAGGAGTCGCCCGCCCGTAACCCCTCTTTAACTGAAGGAGACGCCGGCGGGAGGGGTACGAAGGCGGGATTTCAGGCACAGAAGTGGGGAGCACCTACACTTACCCGGGGGCCGCCTGGGCCCCCCAAACTGAGCAGGGTGTAAAGAAATGGAGAAGGCGATGAGGAGGGGGAAGAAATTGTGCCCCCATGGAGGGTCCTCCAAGAGTATCGTGGGAGAGAACCGGGGATCGCGGGAGAGCTCGCTTCCCCTTAATTTGGGGGTGCGCCCCGTGCAGCAGCGCCGGGCGCGCGAGATAGCGGAAGTGCGGAGCCCCGCCCCGCCCCGCCCCGCCCCCGCCCCGGCCCCGCCGCCGGGAGGTGCGCGCGGCCCCTTTAAGGCGCAGGGCATTGTGGGTGCGGGGAGTGGAATTTTGGAACCAAATGTAGCTCCGAGAAGTACAGTAGTAAGAGTAACATTGTAGCCGCCGCCGGCCGAGGGGGCGCGCCGGGACGGGGACGCCGCACCCCCTTTCTGCCGCAGGGATCCCCGATCAAGCCCCCACAAGGAGGAGGCGCCCGAGGACCCGCCCCGGCCCGGTCCACGTTCCCCCCAGGAAGCCGGACTCTATGGGGCGGGACCCTGGGGGAGACTGAGCAGAAGCTGGAGCCAGCCCCGAACCCCTGAACCTCGAAGCAGGGGCGCCCCGGGAGCAGCCACCCGGTGGGCGCGCCGCCCGCCCGCCCAGCAGCCATGAGGTGAGCCTCGAACTGCCGCCAGACCCTTCCCCTCCCGCGCGGCTCCGGCCCCGCCTTTGTCCCCCTCCCCCCAGCTCTTCGCGGCTGGAATTTGGGGACAGGCCCCTGGGAGCCTCGAATTTGAGGCCGAATCCCCTTGGACGAGTTCCAAATATTGACCGCTTCTCCATGACTCCCAAGGCTCGGGGTGGTGCCAGTGAAATTTTCCTGGGAGTCCTCGGATTTGGGGGCGCTCCGAGGACTCCCGGTTTTTTAAGACTTTCCAGGGGACCTCCAAGTTGGCAGACATTGCCCGCTGACAGGCCAGGATTCAGGAGAGGCTCATACCCCCCAAATATCAACTCTGGCTCTTGGAAGGATTGGGGAGGGCGTTGGGGGGGGTGTCCCTGGGAGACCTTGGTTTGCGGGGTCCCCTTTTACGTGGCGCTGGAAAGTCTCCCCAAGTGGGACCTTGCTCCTTAACTTTGGGGGCACTTAATCCCCCAAATTCGTGGGGCTCTCTTCCTCCTGTGGAGGAGGCTGTAGCGGACGGACCGGCGGCAGCCTCGAGGGGCTGGTGGGGACTCCCCTCCCCCGCCGCTCCGCACCCCCAATCTGCCTCGAGCGGCCTGTGCCTAGGACCGAGCGAGCGCTCTGCGCGGAGGGCGGCGCCCCGGCCGCGGGCCAGAAGGGCGGCCCCGCTCCCCCACCTGCGCGGCCCTGGGGGAGGAGGGGGCGCGGCAGCTGGGGGAAGGGGTGCCTTTGTCTTCCTGACTCACCTGTCGAGACAGCTGGCGAGGGGGGCGGGCGCGGAGCGCGGTGGGCCGGCTGCCTTCCCCACCGCGGCGCCTCCCCCTTCTCGGAGCGCCCTCCCCCGGCCCTCCGGAGCTGCGGGGCGGGAGGAGGGGGCGCTGGCAAGCTTCAAGGTCACAGCCCTCTCTCCCCCTGGGACCCAGGCTGCCCGGATAGCTCCTACTGTCTGCCCAGGAATTTAATCCCGGGGTTGGGGGGCCAAGGGGCCCCGGGATTGTGCTTTACCCCGGCCTCTCTCAAAACTCCTGGGCTCACCTGAGGGCGGGGCCAGTGTGGACTGGGGCACTGGACTAGCCCCCCTTTCTCCTCTCCTGGCCCCCCATAATCTCTCCCCTGGGGCCTGAGCCTGACAATACTATCTCCCTTCCTCCACTCTCTCAGGGACTTCCTGCCCCAAAGCCCCCAGCTTGAGGGGGAGGCCCCTGGGGACTGCTGGGGATTAACCCCCTGGAGCCCACATCCTCCCCCTCCCCCACACTCCCCGCACCCCTGGCCTCTGACTTAAGGGTGGCAGGCCTTTTTATGACTCCCTGAGAATCTCTCTCCGGCGTTGCTTCCTTCTGAGTTAAAAGGGATGGCTGGAAAATTTGGAGCCGGGGGGCACCCACACACCGCCGCTGGGCTTCCGGCTGCCCCTTCCCCCCCGGAGCAGTGTCTCCTCCAGGTCTGCCCGGGAAAGGGGCAGTTTTTGAGAGCCAGGCTGTGCGCCTTCACCCCGTCCCCCGAGGGGAAAAGGGGGCCGCCCCTCTCCCACCGCCCCCAGCCGCGCCCCCCCCCCCCGCGTTTCCGGCCCAGGCGCTGGGGAAGGCGGATGGCGGATGTCCGAGTTAGTGCTGCCTCACTCTCCGCGAGACCGTAAAAGGGCAGGAGCGGTGTCTGGGCCGGCCTCTTCCCGCCCCCACCCCCAGCCTGGGAGGCCGGGTCCTCCCGCAGGGTGCCTCTGCGCGGACTGTGGCCGGACCTCACACCTCCTGGGGGGTGGACTGAAGTGGGGCGCTGCCTGGGCCGCCAGGGCATTACTCACACCTCCTGAGGGGTCTCCTCCGCCCGACTGGCCACACCCGACACCCTGGGCCGGGCCCCTTCTCCAGGGTACAGCGAGCCTTCAACATGACGCTCGCCCCTGCATCCTGCTGGGGAAACTGAGGTTCAAAGAGAGGACCTGGCTCAGGAGCCCTCAGAAATTCCTAGGCAGGAGAGGGGAGGAGACCCAGAGCCTCTGGGTTTCTGGTTGGGCCGGGGACAGTCATGGGGCGGTTGGAAGACAGAATGTCAAGATGGAAAATTACAAGATATAGTTCCTTTTCTCCCACTTTGACAAATATTTGTTGAGTGTGTGTTTGTCCCAGAGCTGGGATCCGGGGAAGGACAGGAAGCAGGCCAGAGGCCTGCGGATCTCGGGGCAGAAAGGACTCAAGAAAAATTTGCGCTTATTTCCCGCCTCTTCCAATAGTAGTAATTGTTGCCTCCCGCCCCCCAATAATAAGAGACCGCACATTTGATCGGGCATCTGCTGTGCACCCTGCACTGTACGATTGAGATGTCTGATTCCGTTGCAACCCTCGCAGCAATTCTAAGAGATTGTTACTATCACCCCCGCCCTTCCTCCCCCACCCCCCAAGTTTACAGATGGGAAAACAGAAGCTCAGAGAAATTAAGCAACTTGCCAATTAAAGTCAGGTGAGAAGTAGGCAAACTTCACTTTGAACCCAGGTCTCCCCGGGTCAGATCTAGACTATCATGCTGCTAAAGCAAACCTTTAATGATCTTTTACAATTTTTTTCAAATGCAGGTAACCTGCTTTCCTCATAGGAACCCTTAGATAATGCAGATAAGCAAAAAGAAACCCAAGTGGGGCCTTCTACCTGCCTCTTCACTTGTGGGAAACTGAGGCCCATGGGGAGAAGGCACAACAGTGAGCCTGGGGGAGGCCCACGGACCTTAGATTAGATTCGCTCTCCAGGGGTATTGCAAAGATTTGTAGTTCGGGTAAGTTTAGGGAGGCTGTGGGGGGTACAAGTTTTATGGTTTAAGGAGGCTATGGGGCGAGCGTGATGGGGAGGGAATGGATGGGCGAGAGGACAGCGAGCCTCTAGTCTGCAGGGCTTGCATCAGTCAGGGTGAAGGAACTTGATTACCTCCCCCGATGAGCAGCTCTCTCCCACCTGTTTTGACTTTCAGCTTCCTGGTTTGAAGCCTTTGCCAAATTCCAGGTCCTAATCTTAGGGCCTCTTTAAAGAAATCTCTTTGAATTCTTACATGAAACCCGGCGGGTTCTGGGTCCTTGGGCTGGAAACGGGCTCTGACAGGTAGAGCCGCCCAGCAAAGGGATGACTTAGACCCCTCTTTCTTCCACCACATGCCAGAGTTTTCCAGAAGGTGGGGGCTCCTGGAGAGGGCCGCGTCCAGGGCTGGCCTGGGATGAAGGCTCTCGCATGTCAAAACAAGGGTGAGAGAGCACTGGAATCAGGCGGACCCCGTTTCAATCTCCCTGGCAGCTTCCTGGCTCCAGGATTTTCCGTTCCCGCTTTTGCCTGGTTTATAGTTTTATTTTTTTAACTTAACTAATAAGTTTGTTTTTTTATAGGCAGTACTAGCCCATGGTTAAAGGAAAGGAAGGATAAGCAAGCCGCTCAGAAGGGTAAACAGTTCGGTAGGCCCATCCCCACCTTCCCTCCTCAGAGGCAGCTCGGCCGGTCTCCTGAGAAGGAGAATATATCACCCCTCTGTGTGAGGATGTATTTATATCCTCCCCACCTTTTTTAAAAACCCTCTGATACACACAGCTTTATACCTTTTTAAAGCTTCGGCTTAGCTATTTCCTCCTCTTTGAGGTTAAGACCTTGGGTGGACATAGGCTCACATATGAGCCCCTGGGCTGACGGGGTGTGTGACCTGGACAAGTGTCTTCACAGCTCTGCGCCCACAGTGCCTTCTCTGTCAAAAGGGTGGGCACCAGGGTTCACCTCACGAGATCACCTCCAGGTTCAGTGAAAACTGGAGCTTAGTTCCTAGAACAGTGTCTGGGATACAGGGTAACCCATCAGTGCCAGCTGCCGTGGCTGAGTTTTCCTTTTTTTACATGTTGAATTTAAAAACTATTGGGTCCGTACCGTGTGCTGGGCACCATTCTAGGTTCTGGGGACACGGCAGAAGATGGAAAGGACAAAAATCCCTGCCCTCAAGTTCTTGACATTTTTGCTGCTATGAAATGTGGGACATGGGCTGAGGGGGTAGTCAGGGAGGGTTTCCTGGAAGAGGTGACCTTTAAACAGACCTGAAGGAGGTGAAAATCCCGGTTGAGGAAGAGCAAGTGCATAGGCCCCAGGCAGGCCTGTGTCCGGCTTGAAGGAGTATCAGGGGAGGCAGGGGCGGGAGGGATGAGATACAGATCACTAAGGCTGTGGAGAGAATCGGGCTGTTACTCTGTGGAAGCCACGGGACCTTGCAAGAAGAGGAGGGATCCGGAGGGACATGATCTGACTTGTGCTTAACCAGATTTTGCTGTGGATACCGTGGCTGGAGAGGGGCTGGATCACCTTGGGGTCACTCAGCAGGCTCCCAGCTCTGGCCAGGCAGGGCAGGGCTGCCTGAGAGAGCAAAGTGCAGCCAGGGTGGGGTAGCAACAACCCTGGGCATCTGGCCAGAGTCTGCCCTGGGTGTGGGTGGCAGGTGTGGGCGAGGCCTTAACCTTGCCCTCCAGAGGGAGCCAGAAACAGTCCCCCAGGCCTTGCTTGTCTGGAAATAAATAGCACCTGGTTATGGGTAGAGCCCACACAGTCCAGGGTGGTTAAGACTTGGGAGCCAAGTGACCTGGTTCAAATCCTCATTCTAGCTACTTCCCAGCTGTGCCTGCGGGCAGGCCCCTCAACCTGCCTGGGCCTCTATTTGTAGTCTTTGCAAAGTGAGGATGAAATAGTGCATGTGTCGAAGGGCTGCAGTGAGAATAAGGGTGCCTAACCAGCTGAAATGAGGTGGCACAGTTATGTAAACTGGGGGGGGGGTCAGGGGCTCAGCCTCCTGGTCTAAAAACTAGGAGCCTGGTCTGCTCTGGGGCTTTCCCGAAGGTCCTGTGTTTCACAGCGTCATGCCCCAGTCCCCAGCCCGGGTAGAGACAGCCATTGTATGGGGTATAATTTTGCTCCCCGGAAATCCCTGAGCACCAACTTCCTCTTTTCAGGAAAAAGTCTGGTGGGGGTGGGGTGGAGAGTAGCACTTCCCCCTGGTCTGTGTGCACTTGAGCAAGTCACTTCCCATCTGGGAGCCCCAGTTTCCTCATTGGGCATGGGGACATTGAAACTGACTATCCAGGCTCCCCCATGGTTACGTTTTCTGGGTGCCGATGAAAAGGATGCTGACAGCTACCAAGTACGCAGTATGTGCCAGGCACTGTGCCAAGTGCTTTAAGTACCCGAACTCACTCACTCCTCCTACCGCCCTGGGAAGTGGTGGGACTGTCATTTAGTGCCCGAGTGGGAAGGTCGCTTGCCTGAGTCACATGGAGTAGGTGGCTCAGCGGGAATTTGAACCTCCAGGTCTGTGGATCAGATCCTAAGCACTGAACCAATTTGCCAACCTGTCCCCCAAGGTTGAGTTAGCTGTCACCTCCACCAGGAAGTCCTCCCTGGCGCTGGCCCTGGGTAGCCATCGGGATGGGACGGTCTCCTGCACTTGAGGGCGGGGTGGCAGCATTGCTGCTGGACTTGGGCCTGACACAGGGCGAGTCTGCAATAGCCCTTGGTTCACTGCGGGGGCGGGGGGGCGGCGGAGGTGGGGGGCAGCAGGAAGTGGGGAGCTGGCTCTAGCATCAGTCCCCAACTGGCCGCAGGCCTCACACTGCCCCTCCCCTCCAGCCTCAGCTTCCTCCTCTGACCAAGTGGGGAAATAGGGGACCCAAGCACCTGGTAGAGACAGGGGGGTGCAGCGGGCCGGGGCTGGTTCTCAGTGCCACCCTGAGCTTCTGCCTGCCCCCACTCATCTGTCTGATCCCCTCCTCCTGTCTGATCCCAGCTTCCTGCATCTTTGTCTCCATCTCCCTCCCCCACCTGTCCCCTGGTCTGCCTTTGTGGGTCTGACTCTTCGTCCTGCGTCTGTCTGTTTGTCTCTCCCGCCCCATCTGTCTCTTTCCTGGTCTGTGTCACCTCCCGACTATCTCTTTCTCTGTCTCTCCCGGCTGGCTGACGTCCTCCCAGTCTCTGCCCTGCCCCAGGGCTTGCCTCCCCGGGTGCTGCTCTGCCGGTCACACTTTGTCACCTCCATTCTCCCGGGGGCACCCGGAGGGTCGGGCCCCCGGGGAGGCTGCAGGCTCCCTGGGCTGACCGCCGCTCTCCTCTCCCTGTTCCTGGCAGCGAGACCGTGGTCTGCTCCAGCCGGGCCACTGTGATGCTCTATGATGACAGCAACAAGCGGTGGCTGCCCGCCGGCACGGGCCCCCAGGCCTTCAGCCGCGTCCAGATCTACCACAACCCCACGGCCAACTCCTTCCGGGTGGTCGGCCGGAAGATGCAGCCAGACCAGCAGGTGAAGGCCCTCTCCCTTCCCCCACCTCGGGCTGAGCTGGCTCTCCACTGCTACGACTGTCACCCCTCATCTCCCTTTTCCCCTGCTCCCAGGTGGTCATCAACTGTGCCATCATCCGGGGTGTCAAGTACAACCAGGCCACCCCCAACTTCCATCAGTGGCGCGATGCCCGGCAAGTCTGGGGCCTCAACTTTGGCAGCAAGGAGGATGCGGCCCAGTTCGCTGCTGGCATGGCCAGTGCCCTAGAGGCCCTGGAAGGTGAGAGCCAGCGGGCAGTAGGCACTGCAGAGCCCTGCCGAGTGGCTGGGCAATGGTTTACCACGCGGCCTCAGTGTGCTCATCTGTAAAATGGGCTAATTCGTTATTGTGAGGATTTTGTGGGTTCCTGTGTTCCCCGCGTGTGCACCCACACAGAAAATGCATGATCCCGAAGGGCGCTGTCTGCTCCATCCATTTCCACACGTGCTCACTCGCGTGGGGCGCCTCCCAGATCCAGCTATAGATATCTCCAACCCCCACAAGGCTCCCTGTGCCCTTGGATTACGTAACTGATGACATGTCATCAGTCGTTTTCAGGCATTGATGTTAAGGAAAAAAACCTGCAGTTGGTATTTCTTAAACACGCTCATCCTTCATCTGCGTAAAACGCAGGTGCTGGTTCTGTTGGGCTGGGGCCCGGGCCTCTGCATTTCTAACCTCCCCTGGTGATGCCCCTGCCAGCCTCTGAGGAGCCAGGCTGTAGGTGTCCTCAGCAGCCGAGCTGGGTGAGGCTGCGGAACTTCACCGTGCCCAATGGCAGCGGTGTTTGTTTCCTGGGGGGAGGAGCTGGGCTGTCTGGGGAGGCACAGAGAAAAGAGGAAGGTGGGGTTGGGTCCCAGGGCCTTGAAGCTGGGGCAGTGAGGAGGAGCCACTCAGCCTTCCCTGGGCCGTGCCCGGGGGGGAAAACCTGGATGTTGAAGTAGCCCCAATCCCAGGCTTGCTCCCGTAAAGCCCAGACTTTTGGCTTTGGGGCAAGTGACAGCCCCTTCTGGGTCTTCGCTGTCTCACCTGCCATGTGGGCATCGTCACCCAGCCCAACCCTCGGCCGCTCGGTCAGGGGAAGCTGGTGCTGGCCCTCAGCCCAGCTTTCATCCAGGTGCTCACGTCAGCCTGGTGTCAGGTCCCCCAGGCAGGAGGAAGTGAGCGCCTGGATTCTTGGGAGGCCAGGGAGAGTGAGGGAATGTTCCAGGGCAGGGCAGCATCCTGGGGTTGACTCATTACCCTTTTCTACTCTCACCTTCCAGGAGGTGGGCCTCTGCCACCTGCCCCTCCCACCTGGCCTGTCCAGAACGGCCCCTCCCCGGAGGAGGTGGAGCAGCAGAAAAGGTGGGGCCAGTCCCTGGATGGGAGGAACCTTGCCTGGGCCAGAGTTCTAGGATATTCCAGAACCCCTGACCCTGAAGTTCAGTACTCCCCCACTTCCAGCCTCTAGAATGTTCCATCTCCCTCAGGGCTAGAAACGGACAGGTTCCAGACACCACCCCCTCTTGGCATTTGAGAAACACCCAGAGTTTGAGTCCTTCCTCACCTCCCAAGTCCTGGGCCCCCAAACCCCAGAATCTGGCTATTTAAGGATCCTAGGCTTTTGCGACTCGGTGCTCTTGACCGTCTGGTGGCCAGAATGCTGCCATCCTGGCAGCCATCCCGCTGTCCCTGCCCGCCTCCACACCCCTTTCCCTGCCCCGGCACGGGTGGGGGTTAGGAGCAGCCTCAGTGGCACCTCTGAGAGAAGCCATCCTGGGAACCCCAAGTGATGGCTGTTCCACCGCTCTCCTCAGGCAGCAGCCGGGGCAGCCGGAGCAAGTGGAGCGTGAGCGCCGGGTCTCCAATGCAGGTGATTACCCCAGTGGCAAGGGTGGTGGGGCACTCCCCTGAGGGGTAGGCCAGCCCGATTGCAAAGAATGAGGCTTGTCTCTCAGCACCCCGCCTTTTCTGTTTCACAGGCCCACCTGCTCCCCAAGTGGTGGGGGACCACCTCCACCTCCAGGACCTCCTCCTCCCCCGGGGCCCCCTCCACCTCCAGGTCTGCCCTCCTCGGGAGCCCCAGCTGCAGGCCATGCAGCAGGGGGAGGTCCACCCCCTGCACCCCCTCTCCCCACAGCACAAGGCCCCAGTGCGGGAGGGGCTGGAGCCCCTGGCCTGGCCGCCGCCATTGCTGGAGCCAAACTCAGGAAAGTTAGCAAGGTGAGGGGTCAGGTGTGTCAGGTGGCTGGGCCTGGTGGAATAATGGGAGGAGGCTGGAGATGCCTGAGGGCATTGGAAGGGGGCTGGGGGCCAGGAGGCCAGCCTATAAAGCCCCTTCTTCTGTAATTTCTCCAACAGGAGGAGGCCTCAGGAGGGCCCTCAGCCCCCAAAGCTGAGAGCAGTCGAAGCACTGGGGGGGGGCTCATGGAAGAGATGAACGCCATGCTGGCCCGGAGGTGAGCCCACGCCCTTGGGAGACTCAGAAAACCCCCCCTCTGACCAGCACTTCTGACCTGGAGATTCCGGTTCTGTAGGGCCAGGTGGGGGAGGAGATTCCCAGTTTGTTTCTGAAGGTGAAAGTTCCCCCTGTGGTAGCCAGGGTTGGGACAGAGTGCTGAGGATTGCATTCTCCTGAGATCACGAAGATTTGAGTCACCTAGGTCACCTCTAGAATGTTCTAAGACCCCCTGCACTCTAGGTTCCTAAGAGATGCTGCCTCTGAATCTGGAAACTCAGATTCTGAGAACATTTATGTCATGGCCCTGTGCCCTTGGGATGTTGTGATCCCAAATGTGTGAGTGCATGGGGGGGGATCACCCCAAATAGAGGGAGAACAGCCCTCTCTTTAACTTCTAAAACACAGAACTTTCTGTAGCCTCCACAAATTCCACAAGTCAACATCCTAGCATTCACCTTTCTAGAATTCTGGGTAAGGAAACTGCCAAGCAGCTAAGGAGGGCTGAAAGCCATCCATTTTTGCCTTTTTCTTCCTGCAGAAGGAAAGCCACACAGGTCGGGGAGAAACCCCCCAAGGATGAGTCTGCCAATGTGAGTTTGGGGCTCTTCCTATCATATATACTTCAGGCCCTACCATGGCAGTGGGGATATTGGGGCGGGGATATGATAGGGATGGAGGCTGGGTTTGAGCCTGGACATGAGAATGGACTAGAGTTGTAGCAGTTTCTTGGCTTCTGACAGTTTTATTTCGCACCAGCAGGAGGAGCCAGAGGCCAGAGTCCCAGTGCAGAGTGGTGAGTGACAGCTGGTCTTAGCCGTAGGAACTGCAAGTCCCAAGATGCCCTGTTCTCACACATTTAAAGCACTTTATGGGGGAAATCTGTGCACATAACACTAGGGCTTATACTCTGCTGATAGGGGTCTTTGAACAGGGGCAAAGTGAGCTGGGGAGGGGGAGAGATGGAGACCAGGCATACCTGGTCCCTGATCTTTCCAATCTGTTGCCGTCCCCCAGAATCTGTGCGGAGACCCTGGGAGAAGAACAGCACAACTTTGCCAAGGTGGGCCATCAGTACTGGGACCCCAACCTCCCCAAAGGAGTTGGATCTGCCCGATTTGTAGGAGAGAACACAAAGAGGCTTTTGGAATGGGAAGTGGGTGGGGGAGGGGCAGGCCCGCTAACCCCATTTCTGTTCCAATTCACACCATCTCCCAGGATGAAGTCCTCTTCAGTGACCACTTCCGAGGCCCACCCCTCTACGCCAAGCTCCAATGATGAGTCAGACCTGGAGAGGGTGAAGCAGGTAGTTTCCGTGGGGGTTTGGGCTGTGCGGCTGGAGACTAGAACGAAGCTAGAGGAAGAAAGGCAACGGGTTCTAGACTCAACCACTGGTCAGCTGGCCTTGCCAAACGTCAGTTTGCCAGTCTGAGAATGGGAGCAAATGGGTCAGGTCAGCAATGACGCAGCCACCACAACCAATTTTTCCAGTGACCATGACAGACATTATTAATCTACCACCATTCACATTCCTGCTGAGTACCCAGAATCCCTTGGGACCAGCAAACTGGTCCCAAGCATCCATCACCAATTGGCAGGAGACAGGAATGTATTTGCCAACCCTGGTACTGGATGTTCTCCAGTCCTTTTCTTCTGACAACAACATTCCAGAATTCTCCTCTAGAACTGTCCAGTCACTCTGGGGCCTTGTCATTGATGTCATGAAGTGTGTGTGTGTGTGTGTGTGTGTGTGTGTGTGTTTTGGGGTCTTGAACCTGCTTCCTCTGCCTCTGCAGCCATTAAGGGGGGTTTGTTGCTGCAAGTCCAGGCCCCTTCCTGGTTGGTTACAACCCATTATTTTCAGGAGCTTCTGGAAGAGGTGAGGAAGGAATTGCAGAAAATGAAAGAGGAAATAATTGAAGGTGAGGTTGCTTTTTATTTTAAACATTTATTTCCGAGGCATGATGTCCCTCGGAAAGAGTCCTGTTTTGGAATGGAAGGGGGGAGAGGCTCTGCCCTTGACCCCTGCCCCTTGTTTCCTTCCAGCCTTTGTCCAAGAGTTGAGGAAGCGGGGCGCCCCCTGACCACAGGGTCCTGGAAGATCCCGTTTCTCCTTTCTGCACCCGGCCTGTCACCCTGCTTTCCCTGCTTCCACTTGACTTGGAATTGGCTGAAGACAGCACCGGAATACAGGAATGCATCTTTCCCACTCCCCATCCCACTTGGAAAATGCCAGGGGGTGTGGCTTCCCTGGCACCAGGCCTACACCCATATTGGCTGCTGATTGGCTGGGGAGGCCCCCACCCTGTGCTCCCTTTGGTGTCCCCCCCCCTACCATCCCCTTGGGGCTGGTTCCTCTGCTGGGGATGTACCAATTAACCCCACAGTAAGGGGGAAGAAAGGAGGGAATTTCTCATTCCCTTGTTCTAGATTCACTTTAACGCTTATGCCTTCGATTTTTTTTTTTTTTTTAAGAAAATATATATATATATATTTGGGTTTGGGGGGGAAAGGGAAATTTTTTTCCTCTTTGGTTTTGATAAAATGGGGTGGGGTGTGGGGGGGTTTAAATGCTATAGGCCCAAGCTTGTCCTATTGAGGACGGCTATTTAAAGGGGGGATGTCCCACTAGGCTGGGGGTGCCTCCCCCTACCGGGACTTCCCTTCCAGCTGGCTCCTTCCCCTTTTCTATAAGGAATTAAGATGCTGTAACTTTTGGAACCTCAGTTTTTTTGGGTTTTTTTTTTTTTTTAATTTGGCTAGATTTTGGGTCCAGACCATTTTTACCCCTAGGGAAAATAAGAAGAGGGGAAAAAGGAAAAGTGGGGAGAATGCACCCCTCAACCACCTTCACCATTAGCTTCTTGAAAATGGGCCCCTGCGGAATAAATCTGGCAGTTTTTATAAATGCTAAGATTTCTGGAGTGATTTGGAGGACTGTGCAGCTGGGGGGGGGGTCCCTCACTCCCTCCATCTAACCCTCATCTTCTTCCTTCCACCCTACACCTCTACTGGTTTCCTCAAGCTGCTCCCTGTAGCCAGATGGTCTCTGCCCCTCTCCCTCTCCAAACCCTCTCCAGGCATTTCCCTCCCTCCTCCCCACCCTGCCTCCCCAGGTGAGAAAGCCAAGCCTGGGCAGCCCCTTCTTCAGCCTCTGGGTCTCTTTCTCCATCTAGGAAAGGGCTCATAAGAGGACTGTGCACTTTTCAGCTTCTCTCCTGACTTTAATGAGCCCTGTGCCCACTTTGCAGATGTACACCATGGTGCTGAGACACTTTCTTAGTGACTTGTTTACCTCAGAGCTCCTTTAATTATAAAACATTTACAGGCTAAAAAAAAAAATAAAAGAAAGAATAGAATTCAGAAGTCACGGAGCTCGCACACCCCCCTCAGCAGTTCAGTGGCTTTGCAGGGGGTGGTTGGGGTGGGGAACTTTGCCTGGTGGAATGTTCCACTTGGATGAGGCTGGGAAACTTCCAGGCGGAGGGGCAGGTGGTCCCACAAGAAGAAGGCTGCGTGGAGCAGGAGCTGGGGGACCGATCCGGAGGCATGAAGGGCAGGGAACCCCCGAGTGTCCCGAGGAGCAGGTCTGGGTGGAAGATGGTGGGCGTGACAGTGACCCATGCAGTAGGGGAACGGGTGGGTGCCCATGAGCAGCCAGTGGGAAAGGCAACAAGATGTCCAGCACTTCTGGACAGGTGAGCTGGCCAATACTGGAGTCAGAATGAGGCAGCCCCAGGCGGGACTGCGTTTTCTTCCTCAGGCACCCACCACCTGCAGGACACAGGAGGCGGGGGAGGGTGGGTTCTGGTGGCACCCAGAAGCCTGCACAGCCTGTGGCTCAGAGGGTTGTGCAAGAACTAATGTGTGTTGGGGGTGGGAGGCTTGTCTGGGCACCATCCTTTCCAAGAGGGGAGGGCCCGAGTTGAGGGACCAACGCTGGAGTGAAGGCAGGAGCCCCTGGTGCCTAATGCTCTCCTATCGCCCCCCCACCTTCTGCACGGGCAGAGTGAGGTAGACCATGGGGGGCGGGGTGCTCTGCCAGTGTCTGCGTTTTCACTGCAATAGCCTTACTACCAATGAGGGGGCACGGGGTGTTCTGCTGTGATGGATGAGGGTCCCTAGGTAAGGACCACGCCTCAGGTGGGCGGGGGTGAGTGACTGAAGAGGGGAGACAGGTGTGCTGCTGCCCGCCCTTGGAGCAGTGGGCGACCGGCAGACCCTGCCTGTCTCGTCCCAGGGGCTACACCCACGGCCAGGGCCGGAAGCTGGGGCGGGGCTCCCGTCCAGGGCTCCACCCGCGAGGGGGTTCGGTGGAAGCGCTGCGGGGCGCGAGGGTAGGGAGGGGACCGAAAGCCTGGCCGGATCAGCCCCAGGCCAGGACCCGGGGGGCCTCGGCCTGGCCAGCTAGGAAGGGCCTGTGGACAGAGGCCGCGTCGGGGCCGTCGCAGCCCAGACCACAGTCTCGTGGGCGCCGGGCCCGCGGGCTCCTACTCCTCCGGCTTGGGTGCAGCCTGCGGCGCCGACGGCGCGCTCAGGGCGCGGAGCTGGGCGCGCACGTCGCGCATCTGCGCCTGCAGCTCCTCCAGCGAGCCGGGCGCGGGCGGCGGCGGCAGCGCCTGCAGCTGATCCCGCAGCGCCTCGAGCGCCAGCCCCAGGTGGTCCACCTCGTCCCGCAGCGAGCTCCAGGCGGCGCGCCGCTCGGTCACCTTGCGCCGGTGGTTGGCCTGCTGGCGCCAGTACTCCAGCATCAGGCAGCTGCAGGCCACCACGAAGATGGTGAGCTCGCCCAGCAGCTCCGCGCCCAGCTCGGCCGCCGCGTCCTCGTTCAGCGGCTTCACGGCGTCCCCCTTGAAGCCCAGGAGGCGCATCTTGGCGCGCATCTCCGCCCAGTGGTACACTGCGGGGGACACACAGTCAGCGCCGCCGCGGGGGGGGGGGGGGGGGGTCCGCGACTGTCCGCGTGGGAACCGCAGGCGCCGCAGAGGGGGGGCCTCGAACAGAACGGGACGGCAGCTCGCCACGGCGTCCAGAAAACTCTGGCGAGTGGAGAGTGAGAAATGCCCGGGACGGGAGGTCCCGCGGGAGGTGCACTTCTGGGGGCGCAGGTCGGGGCAGGTGTCCGTCTTGCTGCCTTTGCTCCTCCACCGCCCACGGAAAGGCCAGGGGCTCCCTCCTCCTGGTGAGTCCGCTCACCACCCCCCACCCCTGGCCCTGGCCAGCTCTGGTATGCAGACGTAAAGCTTCAACACCACCAACGGCAGCTTTTAATCTTGATTCTGACTTTGCTCTTTCCCTCCCAGACTTGTCCATTCCTGGCCCCTTTCTGTGGGGGGTCCCCTCCCGAAGGTGCTTCAGACCTGGGGCAGGCTTTCCGGCCTTGCTTGGGGCCAATTCCGTTTGGGTGGACTTTTACCCACGAGGGGATGGGTGACTTCGGGTGCTCAATTTGGAAACTATATCCTTTGTCTCTTCTGTATTGCACACTAATGGTATTAAATTAAAGATATCTAGCCCACTAAAGGTCTATATATTTTGTCTTGCTGCGGCGGATGTCAGAACCTATTCAGAGCAGACACTTTTGGGGGTTCTGGGGTATAACAAAATTACTATATACATCCAGAAGTGGCTGCAATGAAAACCCTGGACATCCTAATTGTTGAAACACATCCAGGCTGCAATAGGTATTGGGGGACACCCACTCTCGAAACTGGTTGCCAGCAACTACTGAAGCTCAATGCTGAAACAACTGATGAGTCAGCTGCTGGGTGGAACACAGAAGTCTGACCTGCGTGCTACCTTGTGCTATGAACAAATGATGAAGAAACTGACGCACCGTGGTTTAAACAAAGGCACACATTAAAACAGCAGCAGTGAGAACAAACGAACCACACCCATAACAGTCACTTGTATAACAGGCAAACACACAGGCGAGTCCATTCATAGGAAGCCCCCCAAGAGGCACATAATCCGTATACGCATCAGGGAGGTGGTTACCCTTTGGGGATACAGTTACTATAAGGGGGAAAGTGAGATTTCTGGGGTGTGCGAAACTGCTCAGTGACAGCACCAACTTACATTTCCACCAGCCCTCCCAGCGGAGACACAAAGCCCAAGAATGCAAGTTACACGCATGTTCATCCACCACTAATCACAATAGCCAAAGGTGGAAATGGCCCCAGTGGTTCATCAAAAGACCAGTAGATAGGGCCTCCTCTGGTGGCGCAGCGGTTGAGCACTGGGTTGCGAAGCTGCCCGCAGCCTCTGCAGTGCCGGTTCGATCCCCGGCTGCTCCCCGACCACCGGAGGAGGGTCCCACATGGCACGCAGACCTCTCCTGCCGCCCGCTGCTCCCCTCAGCTGTGTACTTCGGTCCTTCTGCCTGCTCTGTTCCCTGCTCTGGCTCTGATTAATTCTCTCACCCTCCCACGCTTCTGACTGTACCCAGTGCTTGTATAAATAAATAAATAAATAAACAAATAAATCTTTAAAAAAAAAAAAAAAAAAAGACCAGTAGATAAACACAGAGTCTTTAGGCCTCCCTGGTGGTGCAAGGGGTTAAGACGCAGCGCTATGAAGCTATCCACAACCACTGCCACAGGAGTTTGATCCCTAGCCAGCCAGGTGACCCACATAGCGCAGTAGACCTCTCCTGTCTCACCATCAGCAGTGTATTTCAGTAGATCCACCTGTGCTGTTCCCCACTCTGGTGAATCCGCTCACCCCCCACACTCCAGTTCCTGTATGCATAAATAAATCTTTAAAAAAACCAACAACACAGGGCCTCCCTGGTGGTGCAAGGGGTTAAGACGCAACCTATGAAGCTGTCCACAGCCTCTGCAGCACAAGTTTGATCCCCGGCTGGCCAGGGAGCAACCCACATGGTGCAGCAGACCTCTCCTGACTCACCCACTGCTCCCCTCAGCAGTGCATTTCAGTCTGTCTGCCTGTTCTGTTCCCCACTCTGTCTCTGGTGAATCCTCTCACCCCACCACATCTCTGGCCTGTACCCCAGCTATTGTATGCATAAATGAATAAATCTTTAAAAAAATAAACACAGTTTGTCTGCACAATGGAATATTATACAGCCAAAAAAAGGAGGCAAGGGTCCCACATGGCGCACAGACCTCTCCTGCCGCCTGCTGCTCCCCTCAGCAGTATATTTTGTCACTCTGCCTGTTCTGTTCCCTGCTCCAGCTCTGGTGAATTCTCTCACCCTCCCACGATTCTGACTGTACCCAGTGCTTGTATAAATAAATAAATAAATCTTTTTTTAAAAAAGGAATAAAATACTAACATCAGCATCTATCTCAAAAACATTATGTTGAGCGAGAAAAGGCCACGTACCATCTGATTTCCATTTATCTGAAATGTCCAGAATACTTAGGTAAGTTCACAAAGACAGAAAGCAGATTGGTGGGAATGGGGAGTGGTGACTTAATGGGAACTAAGTTGCTCTTTGGGGTGATGAAAATGTTTTGGAACTAGATACACAGTGAATGACTTAAATGCTTGGAACTCTTCACTATCAAATGATTGTGTATGATGTGAATTTCACATCAAAAATCAAAGAAAGCTACAAGACCTTGTTCAAGACAGAAAAACGCCCCCGCTGGAATGGGAGGGGACTCTGGAGTCAGGGCAGAGAGCCAGCCCCATCCATGCCTGCCCCAGCTGGCAGGGCACCCTAAATCAAGCTTCCTCCCACCCCAAGCTACATGTGCCACAAGAAGCCTCGTGTGCGGGCCTGCAACCTGGCATCTGTGATGGCTACTGAGAGAAGCTAGCCGGTGGCTCCTTGGGGCTGAGGAGCAGTGGCTGGAGCAAACTTTGGGGGCGATGAGATGTGTTCACTATTTTTGCTACAGTGGTGATTTCACAGGTGTATACATGTCAACACAGCAACCTTACATATCAATGTGCTTTATAGTGACTGTCATTATAGCTCAGGAAGCTGCTGCTTGAAAAGAAACTGAGGCCGGGCCTCCCCTGGTGGTGCAGCAGTTGAGCGCTGGGCTGCGAAGCTGCCCACAGCCTCTGCAGCGCCGGTTTGATCCCCAGTCGCCGGCAAGTGTCCCACATGGCGAGCAGACCTCTCCTGCCACGCCCGCTGCTCCCCTCAGCAGTGTGTTTCATCAGTCTGCCTGTTCTGTTCCCTGCTCTGGCTCTGGTGACTTCTCTCACCCTCCCACGCTTCTCACTGTACCCAGTGCTTGTATAAATAAATCAATAAATCTTAAAAAAAAAAAAAAGAAACTGAGGCAGAGAGGATAAGTGCCTGTCAGAAAAATATGACCCAAAAGGGTCCAGGGCAGGAAGCGAGGGGCTGAGAACTGCTGTTTGTTATGCTAAACCTTACAGAATGGTTTCATTCTTTAAACTGAGAATACAAAAAACATTTGCGTGCAAGAACTCATGCATACACATAAAATGCATGTAAGAGTTGGGATTATCACCTTGGAATGTTTTGATAGCGACCTGATTAGTTATCTGATTATTCATCTGGTCTGTCACATGCCAGGTGATCCCCTAGCCTGTGCCAGCCCAGTTTGTCTTTCTCTAGTCCTTCCCTTCCCTTTCCCAGCCCTACCCTTCAATACTCACGCACACCACGGAGTTATGGGTCAAGCAAATAAAAAGGCACCAAAGCCAAGGTCCTGTCCTGCAGAAAACCACAGGGTGCTCTCTACTTGTTCACAGAGAAAGTCCTAACTCTTTAAAATAACCCCGAGATGGGGCCTCCCTGGTGGCGCAAGGGGTTAAGATGCAACCTTTGAAGATCTCCACAGCCTCTGCAGCACGAGTTCGATCCCCAGCCTGCCCAGGGAGCAACCCACTGGCACAGCAGACCTCTCCTGACTCGCCCGCTGCTCCCCTCAGCAGTGTACTTCAGTCAATTTGCCTGTTCTGCTCCCCACTCTGTCTCTGATGAATCCTCTCACCCTCCACACCTCTGGATAAAATAGGGCCTCCCCTGGTGGTGCAGCAGTTGAGCGCTGGGCTGCGAAGCTGCCCGCAGCCTCTGCAGGGCCGGTTTGATCCCCAGCCACCAGTGAGGGTCTCACATGACGAGTAGACCCCTCCTGCTGCGCCCGCTGCTCCCCTCAGCAATATATTTCATCGGTCTGCCTGTTCTGTTCCCCGCTCTGGTGAATTCTCTCACCCTCCCGTGCTTCTGACTATACCCAGTGCTTGTATAAATAAATAAATCTTTGAAAAAATAAAAATAAAAAATAAAATAAAATAACCCTGAGGCCCGACATGATGCATCCCATCACTGACTCTCTGGCTGTTTGAAATCAACCTCATTCAGTGCTCACAACTCTTTAATCTCTGGCCACTGGGCCTCTGCATATGCTGTTTCCTCTGCCTGCAATACTTGCTCTTCTCCATGCTCACCCTGAGTTTTCAGGTCCTGAGTAAGATGCCTCCTCTGGCAGAAAGTCCTTCCTGACTGCCTCGGCTGGGTCCCATCACCCTTCTCCCTAGGCTCCCCCAGCTCATCTCTAACCACTCTAGGATCAGCACCATCTGGAAGCAGGTCGCCTCTATGAACTGGGGGTCCCGAAAAGGCAGGGCCAGCAATGTCTCGGTCATGCCGACCGTATCCCAATGTGACCTAGCAGGGGGCTGGGTACACAGCAGATGTTTGAGGGTATTTGCTAAAAACATACATAAATGAGTGAATCAGGACTCCACCCACAACATGGCAGACTCGAGAGGCTGGAATCAGGACCTCCCTGGTGGCGAAAGGGGTTAAGTACCATACTATGAAGCAATCTGCAGTCTCTGCAGCATGAGTTCGATCCCTGCCCGGCCAGGGAGAAACCCACATGGCGATGCAGACCTCTCCTGTCTCACCCGCTGCTCCCCTCAGCAGTGTGTTTCAGTCAGTCTGCCTGTTCTGTTCCCCACTCTGTCTCTGGTGAATCCTCTCACCCCCCGCGTCTCTGGCCTGTGCCCCAGCTCTTGTATGCATAAATAAATAAATCTTTAAAAAAAAAAAAAGAGGCTGGAATCACCCTCTTCCTCGAAAACAACTACCAACAAAACACTGAAATGGGCTCCTAGTAGAAATCCAGAAGCTTCGCACCAACTATACAGCTCCAAGACATCCCCAAGATGCTCAAGACCTAAGGCTGGTGGCCACTGAAGGGGTATAGGAGGAGGCGACGGGGAGCATGCCAGGGCTGGGGGCCGGGAGTCAACTTCCCAAGCCACACCAAGGGAACCCCAGGACATGGTGGAACTCCTTGGAGAAATTTCCCTGATACAACAGTGGGCCTGGGCCCAACCCGGGGCAGTGGGAGCTCGGTCGACTCTGACCTGGGAAGTTGGGAAACAGGCAATTAGGGCGTCGTGCCCACCGAACGCTCCCATCCCCCCCTCCAGCTGGAAATCAAAGAAAAGCCAGGTGGAGCCAGGCCTGACTCCATATAAAGCTCTACACCAGAAAGAAGAACTTTAGATTGAACTCACAAATCCTTCTGGAAGGCAAACCAACGACTTGGCTACTTCCCAGCCCTGGAGAAGTGGCAGAAGAAGCAACGCGGAGCAGTGACGACACTGTGGGCGCCCATTGTGATAATTGGGCACACGTGCACCTGCTACACACCCAGCACCACCTGCGAGCAAAATGCAAATTAGCCCCAGAGTGTGAGCCTGGAGGTCCGGATAGTGCCCTTCCCACTGGGAGGCTCAAGCTTCGTAGATCACGACCCCAAAAGAAAGGAGGTGAGGAGGGGAGTGGAGACAACTAAGCACAGAATACAGCTTATTGCGGGGGCCTCCCTGGTAGCACAGGGGGTAGGCCTCAGCACTATCAAGGGTCACCAGCCACTACAGCATGAGTTCGATCCCCGGCCAAGTTGCTGACCCACATGGCGCGCAGACCTCTCCTGTCTCCCCGCTGCTCCCCTCAGCAGTGTCCTTCGTCCTTCTGCCTGCTCTGCTCCCCGCTCTGGCTCTGGTGAATTCTCTCACCCTCCCGCGCTTCTGACTGTACCCAGTGCTTGTATAAATAAATAAATATGGGGCCTCCCCGGTGGTGCAGCGGTTGAGCGCTGGGTTGCGAAGCTGCCCGCAGCCTCTGCAGCGCTGGTTCGATCCCCGGCTGCTCCCCGGCCACCGGAGGAGGGTCCCACATGGCTGCAGACCTCTCCTGCCGCCCGCTGCTCCCCTCAGCAGTGTGCTTCAGTCCTTCTGCCTGCTCTGCTCCCCGCTCTGGCTCTGGTGAATTCTCTCACCCTCCCGCGCTTCTGACTGTACCCAGTGCTTGTATAAATAAATAAATAAATAAATAAAAAAAAAATAAATAAAATAAATAATAAATAAATAAATAAAAAATAATAAAAAATAAAACAAGCAATTTTATGGTATGCCCGCCTTGCCACAATTTAAGAAGAAAAGATCACTTGGTCACGAGGTACTGGCCTGGGCATTGCTGTGGGTTTCACCTGGACCGGTCAACACCAGCTGAGTGTGCCCAGGGCGATTATTTTATTTTTTTAAAGATTTATTTATTTATTTATTTATACAAGCACTGGGTACAGTCAGAAGCGCGGGAGGGTGAGAGAATTCACCAGAGCCAGAGCGGGGAGCAGAGCAGGCAGAAGGACCGAAGTACACTGCTGAGGGGAGCAGCGGGCAGCAGGAGAGGTCTGCGCTCCATGTGGGACCCTCCTCTGGTGGCCGGGGAGCAGCCGGGATCAAACCGGCGCCACAGAGGCTGCGGGCAGCTTCACAACCCAGCCCTCAACCGCTGCGCCAGGGAGGCCCCCAGGGGCGATTCTGATGCTCATCGCCTGAGTTAGTGCAGACCCCTCCAGGCCAGAGTGCAGTCCTGCAGACAGCCCCCCTCTCCCTATGCCAGCCACAAGGGGGGTGCACTTCATGCTTACAGTTGCAGTTTCAGTGTAAAAGAGACCCCGATAGGGCGGTCTCCGAGGGAGCACAAGTTCCTGTCTGGATGTCCTGGGGGATCTGACTGCCACCCAATGGTGCGGATTTTAGGGAGCAGGCCAGAGGGATGTGGTCAGGGGAAAGCGCTCCTCCCCAAAATACTTTCGATTTTCAGTGGTTTTCAGGTGGCCTGCGTGTCCCTGGGTCCCCTCATTCGCAAAGGAAATACATGGCACTTAGAAATTCACCTATGAACATGACAAATCGCAATGACATCTGAGTTGCTTCATACTGAAGCATGTGTCTGGGCCAGATGACTTCCGGAAGGTGCAGGTGCCGCAGACAAGGGAATGCGGGTCAGGCTGCAGCAGCTGGGGGTCCATGCTGTCTCAGGTACTTGCTCCCCACCATCCGCCTTGCCTTCTCCGTGGGCTCCCCCACACTCACACCTTTCTCCCCTGCAGCTGTCTTCCTGCTCCTGCTCCTGCTCCTGCTCGGGTTTCCGCAGGGAGGATGGCCCCTTCCTTCCAAAGGTGAGTATGGGAGTAGGGGGACAGGGATAAGCTGATTTTTTTTTTTTTTTGATAAGCTGATTTTTTTTTTTTTTTTGGTAGAAGAACTGGGGTGTAGGCCAGCGGTATGGGGTTGGGGGAGAGACGGTGAGAGGATCCACCAGAGACACAGAGGGGAGCAGAACAGGTAGATCCACCGAAATCCACTGCTGAGGGGAGCAGCGGGGAGACAGGAGGGGTCTGCTGTGCCATATGTGTCACCTCCCTGGCCCGGGATAGATCTCAGGGTGTAGCAGTGAGAGCGCTGAGACTTAACCTCTAGGCTACCACGTAGGCCCAGGGATAGGCTGAATAAGCTGAATTCTGACTCATGTCCCACCCCTGGGGGAGAGTGTTCTGGTGGAATCTCGGAGGGGATCCCCCTAATCCTGGCCCTCATGCAGAAGTGTGTGCTGTGGGATAGTGAGTGCTTCTGGGGAGGGAGCAGAAACCAGGTGTCTGCTGGCGCGGCATGGAGATCAGTAGCACTGAGAGTCAAAAGAGAGTCCATGGCCCAGGCCCAGACCGCCCAGCTTCTCTATGAAAACTCTCTTAACACCAACTCCACACGCACCCACAATCTCACAGCGGTTTCTGTGGATACCTCCTGGAAGCAGAGACCCCATGAGTTGCAGAGACACAGGTATCTGCACACCCACGTCTAGACCCACTGCAGCTGCCCTTGTCCCCTCCCGACCTCCGCGGAGGCTCTGGATTGCCCTCCCCCCCAGCAGTGGTTCTGTTCCCCAACCAGCAGAGTGTGAGGGCAGGCCCGGTGGGGTCTGAGCCCAGGGGTCCCAGGACCCCTGAGTATCCACACCAGCCTTCCTTTTTCGGTTCAGCACACCGAGGTTTGGCTCGGGGAGAGAGGCCATCTCCCCAAGGCGGGCAAAGTGGGGAAGCTGTCAGAAGTGAGCTCTGAACTCAACTCCACTAATCACTAGTCTTTTTTGGGGGGCGGGGGGGGGGGAGGAGCGGGGAGCATACTGAGAGTGAACGATCCCTCACAGAAGAGGGGTGACTGAGGCCGATTGTGGAAAGCGTTGTGCAGCGCCTACCAGAGAATAAGTGTCCAACAAATACCCTGTGGCTGCTGAAAATTTTTTATTATGTTTCCCTTAATCACCGTATCACACCTTTCTAAATATTCCATTTATTTTTTTACTCCCCGCCCCCACCCCTCTATCTCCTGGCCTTAGTCCCACCCCACCCGCGCAGCGCCCTGCCTGCCCTCTTACCTCAGAATCTCAGTTCGGGCATCTCTGTCCACTCCTTTGCATTCTGCTTGGTCAGTTCCTCCAGTCTGCTTCCTTATCTCGTGTGTATAAGTGAAATCGTCCACTCTTTGCCTTTATCCTTATCTTTGCGGCTCACTTTGCATCACAAAATCCCCGGAGTTCCTTCCACTCTGCTGTAAAGGGCACATTTCCACCCTCCGGGTAGGCCCGGCCTCAGGCGCCAGGCGGGTTAGTGTCCAGGCGAAGGTCCAGGCGCTGCAATAAACTCATGCTTCTCCGAGCTGATGATGTCGTGCTCTTCGGGGACCCCAAAGCGGGATGTCTGGCTCACAGGGTGTTTCTACTTCACCCTCTCCAGGTAACTCCAGGCCGGCTTCCAAAATGGCCGCACCCACTTAAGGAGGTCAGGGCGCCTCTTTCTCCTGGATCTCTCCTGCACTTGCTGGGTGTCTCTTGACTTGTTGGGTGTCTTTCTACCACATGCCATTCCCACAGGCAGGAAATGGTTTTGGAAAACCCCATTTTAGAGCTGGAACATGTATGGCCCAGAGGAGCTGCCTGGGCCCACACAGCCGGGCTGGAGGCGGGACCTTGACTCAGTCCACTCTCTTCTACTTTCCTTTTTTGATTTTGATTTTTTTTAATTGGTTTATAACATCATCTTGCCCCCCCCCCTTTTTACCCAGTATACCCTCTGTCTCCCTAAACCCCGTTTGCTAAGCAAATCCTAACATGAGGTGAGGCTGGGTAGTTTCGGTCAAGGAGGAACCCAGGGCCCAGATACATGCACTGAGGCGCACGATGAAAGGAGCCGAGGCATGAGCCAATAGGAGGTGAAAATAATTGCCAATGCTCAAAGGCTGGCAGGACAAGGCAGCTGTGAGTCACCCAGGAGGAGCGAGGCCAG